TGACTGATCTGGGACCAGGCTAGGAGACTAACTGATCTGGGACCAGGCTAGGAGACTAACTGATCTGGGACCAGGCTAGGAGACTGACTGATCTGGGACCAGGCTAGGAGACTAACTGATCTGGGACCAGGCTAGGAGACTAACTGATCTGGGACCAGGCTAGGAGACTAACTGATCTGGGACCAGGCAGCAGAAGATCGACCCACTATAATGGACACTACTGAGACAGTTGTAACTTTAGTAACACTTTACTTATAGCCTGAGGTTATAATGCATTATGATGCAGTTATAATGCATTGTAAGCCTTGTCATAAGCAGGTACGACCCTATTCATGCCTTATCATCTCATACCAGCCTGGATGAAATATGAGCCATTTGGAGTCAGTTGACATGGAGAGACATAGGATATTATCCGACTTATAAAAACATTATAAAAAGGCTCATAGGTGCTTATAACAAGTTATTAAGCATCATATCTACAGAGTAAAGTGTTACCATATTTGTTTTCCGGAGCTACTCTGTTCTGATTAATGGCAAGTGGTTTTTAAACTATGACTGCGTCCCAAAAGGCATCCAGTTCCCTTTGGACCAGGGCCCATAGGGGACCAGGAATCCATGTGGGATGCAGATAGTAGCTCCATGTTCATCAGGAGACATGCAAAAACCAAAACAGGACAGACAGTCAAGACACTACGAAATAATAATCACCACATGTCAGGAGACCAGTATTTCACACAAGTAGTAAGAGTCATAGAAAGTTCATCATAGTTACATAATAATACGGACAAATCTTTTTGCTTGTTATGTGAAAACGTCAACTGAAAAACACGCTATCAGCAACAGGTGAATAAGTCTACATTTACTAGAGAACCAACACTCCCTATCTTACTCACACTGGGTTTGTTTTACACTAAACACTTGAGGCAAAAGCACTTTCGACATGTTCATGAGAACTTGATAGGAAAGATCCTCTGACTTTCTGCCCGTCTCTCCATCGGTGCCCCTCCTGGGTCGTGTTCATTAGGGCACGCTGTACTAAAATGAGAGTTTCCATATTGGACAGGTGGGAGGTAGAACCTCCCTGTTCCAGTCCGTTTTCATTCCATTTGGTGCCTAATGAACACGACCCAGGACATGGTGGCAGTTTTACTACGTAAAGGCTCTATTTATTTTTTTCTCTCAAAAAGGCTCTGTCATGGATCCTATCAATCAGGCTACTGGTTTTTATAAAAAGGTTAGAGACAGGTTTTCCAGATTTAATACAACATAGGAAATGTATGAATCTAAGTTAATACTGCATGTGTAAGTAAAATAAAATAAAACAGGCGTCCATATCCAAGTCATAAAGCCATGGTTAGATAGAGGCTTCTTCTCCCATGACTAACCACCATCTGCAGAGAGAGAGAGAGCTACATATTGTTTTGAAGGTTATTATAAAATAAAGAAGCAAAGCAGGTTATGTCATCATAAAAAAACTTTAAAAAAAAGAAATAAACAGATATGATCATGGAAACTGAAAATGTAGATCTAGACTGATGTACAAAACATTAAGAACACCTGCTCTTTCCACAACACCATCAAACTCAACTCTGGAAGCCAGTTCCACTGCGTTGTTTCATTGTTCCCCTCTAGTCAGGGTCTGATTTAGACCTGGGACACCAGGTGGGTGTAATTAACAGAAAACCAGCAGGCTCCGGACCTCGTAGGGTAAGAATTGAACACCCCTGACTTAGACTGACCAGGTGAATCCAGGTGAAAAGCTATGATCCCTTATTGATGTCACCTGTTAAATCCACTTCAAATCAGTATAGATGAAGGGGAGGAGACAGGTTAAAGGAGGATTTGTAAGCCTTGAGACATGGATTGTGTATGTGTGGACAAGAAAAAAGATTGAGGTGCCTTTGAACAGGGTATGGTAGTAGGTGCCAGGCGCACCGGTTTGTGTCAAGAACTGCAACGCCGCTGGGTTTTACACACTCAACAGTTTCCCGTCTGTATCAAGAACGGTCCACCACCCAAAGGACATCCAGCCAACTTGACACAACTGTGGGAAGCATTGGAGTCAACATGGGCCAGCATCCCTGTGGAATGCTTTCGACACCTTGTAGAGTCCATGCCCCGACGAATTGAGGCTGTTCTGAGGGCAAAAGGTGGTAGGTGTTCCTAATGTTTGGTAATACTCTGTGTATACACATTTGATTAGTGGATCATATTAAACTATAAATAAATAAATTATGATGTTGAGTCGTGCATTTTCCTCTAGAGCCTTGACCCAGTGAACACAAAGCAAAGAGAGAGAAGTGAGTGAAACCCCTAACACCGAGGAAGACTCAGCAGATACACATCAGGGTTTACAGTACAGTAACCATGTATTGCTAGTCACTTGATCATCGTCACTGTCAAAGTCTACAGAGAGCCATTCGGTCACAAGAATAACACTGTCTTCCATGTAATCCTCTCCTTGCACCACACAGCTTTCGTACATGAGGTTTCCTTGATCTTGGACACAGCATCAAGGATCTTTGAGCGAATGGTTGTTTTATTATCCCCAGCCCTAGCGACACGCGCTCCCCATTCCATTCCCCCACTAGAGACTACTGTTGCTATCTCAGGGCGTGACGGTAGAGGTTCAGAAGCACAAGCAGCAAGCAGATGCAGGGGGGTGGGGGAGGTTAGGGTGGCCTCTGAGAGGACGGTGTCCTCTGGGTCTGTAGAGAACACTTTCCCCCTCCTGGGCCTAATCTGGGCCCGCCCGCCCGCCCGGCCGTTAGAGTTGATGGTTAGTGTTGAATTGATGAAGGGTTATTTTCAGCCTGGCTCAACTCAATATAAATTCATGCAAACGAACAAACGTCAGGTCATGCACACGCCCGTCACCCCTGCCTGCGCTGGTCATGTAATGACATCACTGTGGAGAGGAGAGAGCGAGAGAGAGAGAGGGAGAGATAGAGAGAGCGAGAGAGAGAGCGAGAGAGAGAGAGAGAGAGAGAGAGAAGACAGAGAGAGAGAGAGAAGAAGAGAGAGAGAGACAGAGAGAGAGAGCTAAGAAGAGAGAGAAAGAGAAGAGAGAGAAGAGAAGAATAGAGAGATAGAGATGAGAAGAGTAAGGGATAAGGCAACAACCCGTTATGTGTTTGGTTATAATGATGTAGCAGTAGGATCAAAACAGTCAACATGATTGAGGGTGAATGGAGGAAGGAAGGGTTCAAGCCATGCGGTGTAGAGTCTCAAACTGCTAAGATTCCTTTAATTACAAATTTGAAATCATGTATAGTTTAATCTACCTCCCTGTTGGTTATAATTCTAGTCAAACAGTCAATTTATAAATTAACCCATCCCTGTAAGTTTTAACAATCTACTCCCTTTGTAATTTATAATCTAAATCCCTGTATAGTCTATAATCTACCTCCCTGTATAGTCTATAATCTACCTCCCTGTATAGTCTATAATCTACCTCCCTGTATAGTCTATAATCTACCTCCCTGTATAGTCTATAATCTACCTCCCTGTATAGTCTATAATCTACCTCCCTGTATAGTCTATAATCTACCTCCCTGTATAGTCTTAATCTAGGTCTATACTACTCCCGTATAGTCTATAATCTACTCCCTTTATAGTCTAAAAATCTACCCTCCGTATAGTCTATAATCTACCTCCCTGTAAGTCTATAATACCTCCTGTATAGTCTAAATCTACCTCCTGTATGTCTATAATCCACCTCCCTGTATCTATAATCCACTCCTGATATCTATAATCCACCTCCCTGTATAGTCTATAATCTACCTCCCTGTATAGTCTATAATCCACCTCCCTGTAGAGTCTATAATCCACCTCCCTGTATAGTCTATAATCTACCTCCCTGTATAGTCTATAATCTACCTCCCTGTATAGTCTATAATCTACCTCCCTGTATAGTCTATAATCTACCTCCCTGTATAGTCTATAATCTACCTCCCTGATATTACCCCGTACCTCCCTGTATAGTCTATAATCTAACCTCCCTGTATAGTCCTATAATTAGTCTACCTCCCTGTATAGTCTATAATCTACCTCCCTGTATAGTCTATAATCTACCTCCCTGTATAGTTTATAATCTACCTCCCTGTATAGTCTATAATCTACCTCCCTGTATAGTCTATAATCTACCTCCCTGTATAGTTTATAATCTACCTCATTGGGGTGGCAGCAGTGGTTATTTTACATGTTTGTATTGCATACCACACTTCAATGGCTTTTTACTATGCTGTTCATGCAACATCATAGCCACTGTCTGACTAGTGCATAGATAGTGGATATGGACATGTTAGCATGCAGACGGGTTCATAGTGACATGTTACAGCTGTGTCAGTTGGTAGTGCAGGTGGCTTAGTGGTTAAGAGCGTTGTGCCAGTAACCGAGAGGTCGCTGGTTCTAATCCCCGAGCCGACTAGGTGAAGAAAAATAACATGTAGTGTGGCTCCAGAGGGCAAAGTAAAGGACCGTTCGGATAATCAGGAGTATCAATCAATAACTATTCATTCATAAATAATCGATCATGACTACTGGCTGACGTGAGAACAGGAGTATACACGGGAAGAGGTTTCCCTTCATTTCAATCTTTGTGCTGTTCTGTAAATGAAGTATGTGTATAATATCTACACCTATCAGGCAACTACAGCCTGCCTAAAACAAAGTCTAGCTAAGAGACTGAACACACGATACTTAACACATACTATGTAAATATACCAACTGGTTACAAACCCTCTATATAGTGGATCTACCCTCTCCAAAACTAAAGGTAATTCAAGCAACAGATATTCAAATGTTCACTGTTTTTCTTCATAAAGGGTTCAAATACAACCAACTGCTACCAACTTGTGAAAATTGCATCTCTGCTCACATCCTTGTGTTACATAGAAACAGGAAAACAGTTCATAGATAGGAGGATTCCTGACAGAAGATGACTAGAACAGTAACATCGTTTTACAGAAATGTGCATAATAGTAGTAATAATAATAATAATAATAATAATAATAATAATAAATCCAGGTAGTCCAGATTTAAAGAGAGACTGAAGGACTGAGGAGGAGAACAAAGGAGAGTAGAGGTTTAACCTGAACCACTCCAGTGAACGCTGTCTGGATTACTGAGCTGAGCCGACATCCATAGAACCGGACTGTCTGATGGACATCTGGAGGGTCAGGGGTCGAGGAAAAAGGGTCAGGTAGGGGCAAGGGTGCCATGTCTACCCGGCGCCGTGGTGGTACCTGGCCTGGAGGGTCAAAGGTCAGGGGAAGGGTCAGGGGTGAAGGGTCGTGGCGCCATGTCTACCTGGCGGTGGCGGACTGGGGTCCCGGGTAACCGGGGTAGGAGCGGCGTGTGCTGGTAGCCTGTCTCTGGCGGGCCAGGAAGGACTGTCCTGAACCCGTACTGGCCAGACGGTCCTCTGCTGCCTTCTTCTGGAGAGCCATACCCTGTGGGGACAGACAAAGTGGGATGGTCACTCAGTGGCTTCACTAAGACCTTGGTTAAATCCCCTGCGTCTGCCATGTGTGAGTTTTCTCATTTTTGAATCAAAACACTGAAGCAAGCACCACGATACCTTGCTTTTTATATCCATGGAGTTTTAATTTCAAGTGGCATAGGAAATCCTACAGCGCCCTCCAGTGTTTGAGATGAGTAACAATGTAATATCAAAGATTTTTATAACTAACCCAAGATTGACCACAGCCTGTTGTTTCTAATGGGAGCAAATTAATCGTAGTGGGCAGAACAAGCAATGAGGGCCAGAGCCAAGCACGAGCTAGCGAGATCCTATTGGAACGTTCTAGCATGTATTTGCATATTTCCGTTAGGGATCGCCTACTCTGTGAAGTGTGCATGTGCGATAACTAAATTCACCCTTGTACTCCTTGTAAACAATGCAATTTATTGAAACTCTGGCAAAAGGGTAAAGTCTACAAAACGTAGTCCACTCTGTTCATAACAGATTGAAGTTTTGGGAACAGAAAACTGTATTGAGATCAAATGTTCGATGAGAAAATGTGCAGAATGTCGTCCAGGAATCCATCTCGCTCCATCTTCTCCCACTGCCAGCCACCGGGCTTCCTCTCAACACCATATTTGGTAGTGAGTGGAAACGTCAAACGGATGGGTTCAGATTTATTTATACATCCGGTGAAACATCTGTGGTAATAAAGTGCTGGTACAATATAAAAACTCACCGTGTTTTACCAGGCAGACAATATGGGTGTTTTTCAGTATCCGAGCACTTCTACCCCCAAGCCATAAGACTCCTGACAGCTAATCATGGCTACCCTGACTATTTGCACTGCCCCCCCACCCCATCCTTTTTACGCTGCTGCTACTCTGTTAATTATTTATGCATAGTCACTTTAACTCTACCCACATGTACATATTACCTCAACTACCTCAACTAGCCGGTGCCCCCGCACATTGACTCTGCACCGGTACCCCCCTGTATATATAGCCTCCCTACTGTTATTCTATTTTACTTCTGCTCTTTTTTCTCAACACTTTTTTTGTTGTTGTTTTATTTTAACTTTTTTTGTTAAAAATAAATGCACTGTTGGTTAAGGGCTGTAAGTAAGCATTTCACTGTAATGTCTGCACCTGTTGTATTCGGCGCATGTGACCAATAAAATTTGATTTGATTTGATTTGATGGTAGGCGCATGAGTCCAAATCCAAGTATGTGAAATGGAGCACGGATGGCCCTTCTCGGATGGGTACGGATGGCACTTCTCGGATGGGTCCGCCGCTTGGAGCACGGATGGCCCTTCTCGGATGGGTACGGATGGCACTTCTCGGATGGGTCCGCCGCTTGGAGCACGGATGGCCCTTCTCGGATGGGTACGGATGGCCCTTCTCGGATGGGTACGGATGGCCCTTCTCGGATGGGTACGGATGGCCCTTCTCGGATGGGTACGGATGGCCCTTCTCGGATGGGTTCGCCGCTTGTCCACATTTTGAAGCATGCGTCGATGCAAGCTTCATGGAAAAGTATGGACAGAAAGATGACGCAACCACGTAAAAAAAACAACGTAAAATGTATTGAAATCAACGGAGGCCATTATTTGAGCTGAAGAGAGAGAAAATACCGATTTCAGAATGAAATGTTGCCTATTCACATCTCATATGTTGCCTGACTACAGTATTTTATCTTGATACGTTAATAAATACATTCTGTGTTAATTTGGGCATGTCTACCTGCCTACAATACCCACTGTAGTGTTCGTAGATCGCAAGACAATAGTAAGTCAATAGGGCCAACTGGCTAGCTACTACTGTTAGCTAACTACCACTGTTAGCTAGCTACTACTGTTAGCTAACTACTACTGTTAGCAAGCTACTACTGTTAGCTAACTACTACTGTTAGCAAGCTACTACTGTTAGCTAGCTACTACTGTTAGCAAGCCAGATAGCCACAAAGAATCGGTAGCAAGCTACACACGAATAATTGACATCTACCTTGCATAACATTAGTTTTAGGTCATTTTTGCCTATAAAACTATCTGATTAGCTACATTATTATGATTCACATATAGCTAGCTGATAATTATGAAGTAAAACGTTTGCTTTGTGTATATCTTGTTTGGTCTCTATTGTTGCCATTGTCCTGGCTGGAAGAAGCTTCAGTGAATGGGGAGGTGCAGCGTGAGGTAATACAGTAGTGCTTCTCAAATGGAATATTTTATGCGTTCTCCACACTCCTCACAAGAACAGACTCGAGAGAACGTCCTCGGGGCATGCACTTGTTGCATGAGAGAGTGTGGAGAAGGGTAGTGTGTATACTGAGAAACCCCCTATGAGTTTGAGTACGATGACTAAATATAAATGTAATATAGTGCAGGTCCCAATATAAAAAAACTCACCATGTTGTACCAGGCAGACACTATGAGTTTCTCCTCCTGGTCTCTCTGGGCCTTGGTCTTGTCATAGTCTTTCTGTAGAGGGAGATCAACAGAGGAACAGTAGTAAACTGGGTTGAGTCTACTCAGTGACATTGAGGGTAAATGTAGAGTTAGTATCAGACTTGGGATAACTATATTTTTTAAACTATGCTTTATGGAAAGTGACTCATTTCTGGGGGGGGGGAAACAAATAATTACTTTGGAGGTGACTACAATTATTTGAATACAGATCCCCAAAAAAATGACTACTTTTTAAAAACCATTTGAATACAGATCTTAGAAAGTGACTACTTCAAAAAAATATTTGAATACAGATCTCAGTAAGCGACTACTTTTCAGAAACGATTGGATTGGCTGCTTTCAACTAACGGCAAGGCTGTATCTGGAACTGCATGTTGAAGGTAGAAATAGAATGAATAGAACACAATCTCCTATACTATTCCAATCTGACAGTCATATTGGATCTACACTATGTATTTCTATCTGAACATTCTGTAAATGTCCATTCTCCTGAATATCCATTGCCGCAGGTGTACACAATCAATTCAAACCAATTAACCAATGATATTTTGTACAGGTAAGTAGAAATACGTTGTGACGCTCAACTACTGTATGACACTTTCAACATGCCACTAAAAAGGTCGAAAGCCATTTGCAAACAGCAAGTTAGATGCTTAGCAAAAACAACTTCGAACGTCTTTGTCCATCTGAGGGTAAGTGTTTTTGTTTCAAACACACACACTGTACCATCTATAAAGGGACAGTTTACTCAAAATACAAACTAACATGATTTTCCACCTACCTTGGGCTGTAGTTGATTCAAGGCAGTTTTGGGATAATTAGTTTCCTTTCGACTCTTAATAGCCATATTTTGTTACTGTTAGCATTCCCAGTAACACTTAACATTAAACTGTTCTTGTGCCTCTGTAATAAAACTCGAATTGCTTTTGGAGAAACATTTTATTTGGCATTTTATTGCATTTTAATTGCATAGCAATGAGCTGAGAGTTTTTGTTAGAGGAATAGTGACTGTTCCTTATTCCACTGAGGTAATAACTCCATTATTATGACATCATAAAGACATTTACAAAGTCCCATGTGACAACAATGTCTTTGTGTCATCATCACAACCTTATAAACATGTATAAAAACGTAATATGTCAAGTGTTACTGTATTACTTTATGTCACACATTATGAAAATATATTTGTTAGTCATTTTGAAGCTGCAGAAGGGATCTACTCTAATGCTGAGGTGATTCTATGTCCCTCAGGTATTGCATTCTGGGCTATATTAAGATTCATATCGGAGAGTCGTCCAAACCATGTGCTTGTGAGCATATATTTATTCAACTAACTGTTGTCGTTTTTTTTGGTTCTTCATCAAATATTTGACAGTCATCAAATAATGTTCTGTTTTTTCCCCCAAATAACTTTCATTTATTAAAATACCTTCAAATATGATTTGGTTTTCTGAGACCTGTATCTGAGACCTGTATCTGAGACCTGTATCTGAGACCTGTATCTGAGACCTGTATCTGAGACCTGTATCTGAGACCTGTATCTGAGACCTGTATTTGAATATCAGAGAAACTAGTTGCCTTTAGTTGAAACTCTTTATAAACTTTATTCGACTACCTCGAGTATTTGAAAAGTTGGTATTTTCAAATAAACTACGAAATACAACTATTTTCTGCCCAGGTCTGGTTGGTATTACCACCATCCCCTCCTCCATCCCCTCCCCTCCCCAACCCTAACCCCTCCCCAACCCTATGGAGTTAGACAAACATTTTAATAGGCTAATAGCTTAGTCTTATTTTGAGTAGCATGTGAGGTATTTATAATATCATACATGATAAATATTACTGTCCCCTACACCTACCCCAATCCTAACCCCTCCTCCACCCTCCATCCTATCCCCTCCTCTAAACCCTCCCCTCTCCTCCTCCCCCCCCTCCCTCCCTCCCTCCATCCCCTCACCAACCCCTACCCTAACCCCTCCTCCCTCCATCCCCTCACCAACCCTAACCCCTACACCCTAACCCCTCATACCTCCAGAGTGCAGAATCCTCTCCTTCTCCTGCAGCTGGTTCTTCAAGGTCTGGACCTAACCCTACCTCCTACATCCTAACCCCTACACCCTAACCCAGCCCCTCCTACCTCCAGAGAGTGCAGCATCCTATCCTTCTCCTGCAGCTGGTTCTTCAAGGTCTGGACCTCTGGTGCTGAGCCCTGGTTCTGTTTAGGGTCCAGGGTCCGGATAACACTCTTGGCCTTCTCCAGGTACTTCTTATATCTCTCCTCCATCTGCTTCATGTCTTCATCCTTCTTCTTTAAGGCCTCTTCCAGTTCCTCTACTTTCTGGGCTGGAAGGAGAGACAAAACAAAGACTAAGTTAATAGAAATTCACGAGTTGGTAACAGATTGAGAATTTACAGCTAAATCATTTTGGACAAAAGCATCTGCCTAGTCTAAATTGTATATATTTGTTCTCACCCACAATCATACATTAGACCTTGTCATCATAGGCGAGCTTGCCATCTCTGACCTCACTGAAACCTAATAATCCACCAGGTCCACCTACTACTGAAACCTAATAATCCACCAGGTCCACCTACTACTGAAACCTAATAATCCACCAGGTCCACCTACTGAAACCTAATAATCCACCAGGTCCACCTACTACTGAAACCTAATAATCCACCAGGTCCACCTACTACTGAAACCTAATAATCCACCAGGTCCACCTACTACTGAAACCTAATAATCCACCAGGTCCACCTACTACTGAAACCTAATAATCCACCAGGTCCACCTACTGAAACCTAATAATCCACCAGGTCCACCTACTACTCAAACCTAATAATCCACCAGGTCCACCTACTACTCAAACCTAATAATCCACCAGGTCCACCTACTACTCAAACCTAATAATCCACCAGGTCCACCTACTGAAACCTAATAATCCACCAGGTCCACCTACTACTCAAACCTAATAATCCACCAGGTCCACCTACTACTCAAACCTAATAATCCACCAGGTCCACCTACTACTGAAACCTAATAATCCACCAGGTCCACCTACTGAAACCTAATAATCCACCAGGTCCACCTACTACTGAAACCTAATAATCCACCAGGTCCACCTACTACTGAAACCTAATAATCCACCAGGTCCACCTACTGAAACCTAATAATCCACCAGGTCCACCTACTACTGAAACCTAATAATCCACATTTACTAATCCATGCCACCTCTTTTCCACCATTAATTACCTACTCAAACCAGCTGTCACCCATCAACGCTGCAACCACAGAGGACTGCGGAAGATTCTCCACCTACTTCTTCGAAAAGATTTACATCCTAAAGAGTGGAATCTGCCCACATCACCCCCATTCTAGCCTCTATCCACTGGCTACCCATCCAAATCAGAATCAACTTCAAAATCCTCATGTTACTCCTCAAAACTCAACACCTCTGGTCCCCAATACCTCAGTGAACTCAGCCCCAAACAGACTTCACGGTCACTCAGGTCAAATGATCAAAGACTCTTTGGGACTGCAAGGACACGCTTAAAAACTATGGGTGACCGAGCATTCTGCTGTCTCGGCCCCAGCTCTGGAACGAGCTCACTGCCTTTAAGGTCAGAGCTCAAGAGTCACTTCTTCAAACTGGCTTTCACTTAATATGATCCATGTTGTGGTGTCTATTGGTCTTCTACTACAGAGTTCTATTGGTCTTCTACTACAGAGTTCTATTGGTCTTCTACTACAGAGTTCTATTGGTCTTCTACTACAGAGTTATATTGGTCTTCTACTACAGAGTTATATTGGTCTTCTACTACAGAGTTATATTGGTCTTCTACTACAGAGTTATATTGGTCTTCTACTACAGAGTTCTATTGGTCTTCTACTATAGTTTAGAGTTCTATTGGTCTTCTACTACAGAGTTCTATTGGTCTTCTACTACAGAGTTATATTGGTCTTCTACTACAGAGTTATATTGGTCTTCTACTATAGATTATAGTTCTATTGGTCTTCTACTACATAGTTATATTGGTCTTCTACTATAGATTAGAGTTCTATTGGTCTTCTACTATAGATTAGAGTTCTATTGGTCTTCTACTACAGAGTTCTATTGGTCTTCTACTATAGATTAGAGTTCTATTGGTCTTCTACTATAGATTAGAGTTATATTGGTCTTCTACTACAGAGTTCTATTGGTCTTCTACTACAGAGTTCTATTGGTCTTCTACTACAGAGTTCTATTGGTCTTCTACTACAGAGTTCTATTGGTCTTCTACTACAGAGTTCTATTGGTCTTCTACTACAGAGTTCTATTGGTATTCTACTATAGTTTAGAGTTCTATTGGTCTTCTACTACAGAGTTCTATTGGTCTTCTACTACAGAGTTATATTGGTCTTCTACTATAGAGATCTATTGGTCTTCTACTACAGAGTTCTATTGGTCTTCTACTACAGAGTTATATTGGTCTTCTACTATAGAGTTCTATTGGTCTTCTACTACAGAGTTCTATTGGTCTTCTACTACAGAGTTCTATTGGTCTTCTACTATAGATTAGAGTTCTATTGGTCTTCTACTATAGATTAGAGTTCTATTGGTCTTCTACTATAGATTAGAGTTCTATTGGTCTTCTATTACAGATTAGAGTTCTATTGGTCTTCTACTATAGATTAGAGTTATATTGGTATTCTACTATAGATTAGAGTTCTATTGGTCTCCTACTATAGATTAGAGTTCTATTGGTCTTCTACTATAGATTAGAGTTCTATTGGTCTTCTACTATAGATTAGAGTTCTATTGGTCTTCTACTATAGATTAGAGTTCTATTGGTCTTCTATTACAGATTAGAGTTCTATTGGTCTTCTACTATAGATTAGAGTTATATTGGTATTCTACTATAGATTAGAGTTCTATTGGTCTTCTACTATAGATTAGAGTTATATTGGTCTTCTACTACAGAGTTCTATTGGTCTTCTACTATAGATTAGAGTTCTATTGGTCTTCTACTACAGAGTTATATTGGTCTTCTACTATAGATTAGAGTTCTATTGGTCTTCTACTATAGATTAGAGTTCTATTGGTCTTCTACTACAGATTAGAGTTATATTGGTCTTCTACTATAGTTTAGAGTTCTATTGGTCTTCTACTACAGATTAGAGTTATATTGGTCTTCTACTATAGTTTAGAGTTCTATTGGTCTTCTACTATAGATTAGAGTTATATTGGTCTTCTACTATAGATTAGAGTTCTATTGGTCTTCTACTATAGATTAGAGTTCTATTGGTCTTCTACTATAGATTAGAGTTCTATTGGTATTCTACTATAGATTAGAGTTCTATTGGTCTTCTACTATAGATTAGAGTTCTATTGGTCTTCTACTACAGAGTTCTATTGGTCTTCTACTATAGATTAGAGTTCTATTGGTCTTCTACTATAGATTAGAGTTATATTGGTCTTCTACTATAGATTAGAGTTCTATTGGTCTTCTACTATATATTAGAGTTCTATTGGTCTTCTACTATAGATTAGAGTTCTATTGGTCTTCTATTACAGATTAGAGTTCTATTGGTCTCTCCTGTATCTTGTATAGTGCTAGACCGCTAGCTATCTTCATGTTTTTAGTCCTTTTATTAAATATGATTTATTTTAATGGTTGCTTTCAATGTAAAGAGCTTTGTGATTTATATCTGTGAATGAAAAGCGCTCTACGAATGTCATTTATTATTATATTATATATTTTAAATTCACAAGTTCAATCAGAAGTAATAAATGAATAACTTACAGCTAGAGGTGTACTTGGGCTCCAAGTCATCGATGTACGCAGTCTTCTTCTGCAGTTCACTGTTCACTTCACGCAACTTCTCCCTTTTAGATCAGCATTAGAAACGGCACATAAGTCAGGTCATCACTTGTAATGTGCAAAAACAAACAAGCATTATGTTCAATCGATCTGACCAAACTTCAATCTTAATTTAACAAAAAAACTCATTAACATTTAACAACAGTTGCAAATGTTACTTACATGTGTGCATCATTTTTCTTCTTCAGAATGATTGACTAAAAAATCCAAATACAAAATGTTGGTTGTAGTAATTTCATCAGAGGGCATTGTAAAGCACTAATGATGTCATGTAGGCCTATACAGCGGTGAATGTTCACTTTGCTGATTCAACATGTTAAAGACATTGAGATATATAATAATAATAATAATAATAATAATAATAATAATAATATGCCATTTAGCAGACGCTTTTATCCAAAGCGACTTACAGTCATGTGTGCATACATTTTTACGTATGGGTGGTCCCGGGGATCGAACCCACTACCCTGGCGTTACAAGCGCCGTGCTCTACCAATTGAGATATTACATATCATACTGTATGGATTGGAATTATGTGACAATACACATATTTGATGTTGCCATATTGATTTTCAGGTTTTGATTACTGGGAAGACAATGAAAGGGTACTGGAAATGATACTGTATTTTCCTTCCATTTCTAAAAACGCCATGTATGAACAGATTAAGCAGTTAAGATGCATATCTCATGTGGTATGACATAAGAGTGTAGCTAGGAAACAAAGCTCCTATAGAGATTAGCAGCACCCTCATTTCAATCTAGGCCACCAGCATGTACTGTAGATTGAAAAGGCATTTCTTAAAGGGATACTTCGGGATGTTATCTACTTCCCCAGAGTCAGATGAACTCCTGGATAACATTTTCATGTCTCTGCGTGCAGTTTGAAGGAAGTTGCTGACTAGCAATTGTTAACTAGCGTTAGCGCAATGACTGGAAGTCTATGGGTATCTGCTAGCATGCTAGTACATACCCATAGACTTCCTAGTCATTGCGCTAACGCTAGTTAGCTTTGGCTCGCAAAACTACCTCCAACTTCCTTCATACTGGACACAGAGACATTAAATGGTATCCACGAGTTCATCTGACTCTGGGGGAAGTAGATAACATCCCGAAGTATCCCTTTAAGCACTAATATAACTATAATAGAATGAAACTATTACACCTTGTCACTATGAGCAGAGAGGTAAGGTGTCTAACTAGGATTGATCTGCAAGCTATACTTACAACCGCCTGAGGGGGGAAGCAGAATTAAAGAGAAAATAAGGGTGATTTAATGCAGGACAAAACACCCAGAGAAGACAAGAGGGAGAACGAAAGAGAGAGAGAGAGAGAAGCATTTCAGTTAGGTTAGTCATGCAGTGAGGAGAGAAAGACAGGAGCCGCTATTCACATGACCTGACCTTTAACCTCCTAACGGGGTAGGCTGGCAGGACAACCAACCAATGACTTCCCAACGCTACAACATGAGTAAGACGACATAACAGAACACACACAACAACACAGTGTTAGAATGTTAGTGAGACATGACAACACATCCAGGTAGTTTATGAGTTGTTATGACTTATGAGGACAATGAAACAGACTAGTATTAGTAACTTGTTGCTTTATTTTCTCATCAGTAAAAGGTCTTCTGGGCCAGGTAAGAGAATGATAATGAACTGACATGATGTGGCAGTAAGATCCTCCTCATCAGGATCTAACGTTAACAACCACATAGCACGACAGGATGTCGTGGGTTCTGTAGTTTAATGTGAACACCCACATAGCACGACAGGATGTCGTGGGTTCTGTAGTTTAATGTGAACACCCACATAGCACGACAGGATGTTGTGGGTTCTGTAGTTTAATGTGAACACCCACATAGCACGACAGGATGTCGTGGGTTCTGTAGTTTAATGTGAACACCAACATAGCACGACAGGATGTCGTGGGTTCTGTAGTTTAATGTGAACACCCACATAGCACGACAGGATGTCGTGGGTTCTGTAGTTTAATGTGAACACCCACATAGCACGACAGGATGTTGTGGGTTCTGTAGTTTAATGTGAACACCAACATAGCACGACAGGATGTCGTGGGTTCTGTAGTTTAATGTGAACACCCACATAGCACGACAGGATGTTGTGGGTTCTGTAGTTTAATGTGAACACCCACATAGCACGACAGGATGTTGTGGGTTCTGTAGTTTAATGTGAACACCCACATAGCACGACAGGATGTCGTGGGTTCTGTAGTTTAATGTGAACACCCACATAGCACGACAGGATGTCGTGGGTTCTGTAGTTTAATGTGGAACACCCACATAGCACGACAGGATGTCGTGGGTTCTGTTAGTTAATGTGAACACCACATAGCCACGACCAGGATGTCGTGGGTTCTGTAGTTTAATGTGAACACCCACATAGCACGACAGGATGTCGTGGGTTCTGTAGTTTAATGGTTGAAACACCCACATAGCACGACAGGATGTCGTGGGTTCTGTAGGTTTAATGTGAACAACCCACATAGCACGACAGGATGTCGTGGGTTCTGTAGTTTAATGTGAACACCCACATAGCACGACAGGATGTCGTGGGTTTCTGTAGTTTAATGTGAACACCCACATAGCACGACAGGATGTCGTGGGTTCTGTAGTTTAATGTGAACCACCCCACATACCGGATGTCGTGGGTTCTGTAGTTTAATGTGAACACCCACATAGCATGACAGGATGTTGTGGGTTCTGTAGTTTAATGTGAACACCCACATAGCATGACAGGATGTTGTGGGTTCTGTAGTTTAATGTGAACACCCACATAGCATGACAGGATGTTGTGGGTTCTGTAGTTTAATGTGAACACCCACATAGCATGACAGGATGTTGTGGGTTCTGTAGTTTAATGTGAACACCCACATAGCACGACAGGATGTCGTGGGTTCTGTAGTTTAATGTGAACACCCACATAGCACGACAGGATGTCGTGGGTTCTGTAGTTTAATGTGAACACCCACATAGCACGACAGGATGTCGTGGGTTCTGTAGTTTAATGTGAACACCCACATGGCACGACAGGATGTCGTGGGTTCCGTAGTTTAATGTGAACAACCACATGGCACGACAGGATGTCGTGGGTTCTGTAGTTTAATGTGAACACCCACATAGCACGACAGGATGTCGTGGGTTCTGTAGTTTAATGTGAACACCCACATAGCACGACAGGATGTCGTGGGTTCTGTAGTTTAATGTGAACACCCACATAGCACGACAGGATGTCGTGGGTTCTGTAGTTTAATGTGAACACCCACATAGCACGACAGGATGTCGTGGGTTCTGTAGTTTCCAGTTCTTTAAAAATAACCGCTCCGATAGTTGTAATGTAATACGATCAGGAGTTAATCTGATCTGAGATCAGTGTAGCGGTACTCACGTCGTCTGCTTTGGAGCCCTGTTCCTGAAGACTCCTCTGCAGATCCTCCACCTGACTCTGACCCTGGATCAGTCTCTGGTTCGCCAGTCTGGAATACGGACACCATTATTCACTGAATTTCAGTCAAATACCCTTTATCTAGTCCTTGGCCTTTATCCTAATCTGACTTTGGTGCAGGTCATGTTGTTCTTTACATTACCATATCTGGTAAACACACACTATATCAAATAAAATCTAAGTTTATTTGTCACATGCACAGGATTATGCATGTGACAAATGCACAGGATTATGGTTCATTGTTTAGCTAGCTAAACAATGAACCATAATCCCAACTCATAATACCATGCACCATGCATGAATCTGCAAGTAGGTAAAGCTAACCAACTAGGTTCAATGTTAGCTAACTAGCTAACATTAGGCTATAACTAGCAATGCAAAAGTATTTCTGAGATACGAAAAAAAATACCCAAATGTCCCCACAAGGATAGTAAAACAAGGAAGATTCTCCCTGGTGGGAACATTTCCCAAGTCCCCATGATGACAAAGGCTATTTTAAGTTTAGGGGTTCGGTTTAGGTTTAGGGTTACAATTAGGGTAAGGGGTTAGTGATTAGGTTTAGGGTTATGGTTATGCTTAGGGAAAATAGGAATTTGAATGGAAATTAATTTTAGGTCCCCACGAGGATAGAAGAACATAATGTGTGTGTATGTCTGTGTAGTGTGTGTCTGTGTAGTTGTGTCTGTGTAGTTGTGTCTGTGTAGTGTGTGTCTGTGTAGTGTGTGTCTGTGTAGTGTGTGTCTGTGTACTTGTGTCTGTGTACTTGTGTCTGTGTAGTGTCTGTCTGTGTACTTGTGTCTGTGTACTTGTGTCTGTGTACTTGAGTCTGTGTAGTGTGTGTATGTGTAGTGTGTGTCTGTGTACTTGTGTCTGTGTACTTGTGTCTGTGTACTTGTGTCTGTGTAGTGTGTGTCTGTGTAGTGTGTGTCTGTGTAGTGTGTGTCTGTGTAGTTGTGTCTGTGTAGTGTGTGTCTGTGTAGTTGTGTCTGTGTAGTGTGTGTCTGTGTAGTTGTGTGTCTGTGTAGTTGTGTGTCTGTGTAGTTGTGTGTCTGTGTAGTTGTGTGTCTGTGTAGTGTGTGTCTGTGTAGTGTGTGTCTGTGTAGTGTGTGTTTGTGTAGTTGTGTGTCTGTGTAGTTGTGTGTCTGTGTAGTGTGTGTCTGTGTAGTGTGTGTCTGTGTAGTGTGTGTTTGTGTAGTTGTGTGTCTGTGTAGTTGTGTGTCTGTGTAGTGTGTGTCTGTGTAGTGTGTGTCTGTGTAGTGTGTGTCTGTGTAGTGTGTGTCTGTGTAGTGTGTGTCTGTGTAGTGTGTGTCTGTGTAGTGTGTGCGCGCGAACCTGTTTTCTGTCTCCAGTTCATTCTTCCTCCTGTTGGCGTCCTCCAGTAAGCTCTGCAGCAGAGCGATCTTCTCATTGTCAGAACCCTCCTGGGCCAGCTTCAACATGTTGTTCTCATGCTGCAGTCTGATCAGCCTCTCTCTGGAACAGAGGACCACCACAACACATTACTGTCTGGAACAGAGGACCACCACAACACATTACTGTCTGGAACAGAGGACCACCACAACACATTACTGTCTGGAACAGAGGACCACCACAACACATTACTGTCTGGAACAGAGGACCACCACAACACATTACTGTCTGATCAGCCTCTCTCTGGAACAGAGGACCACCACAACACATTACTGTCTGATCAGCCTCTCTCTGGAACAGAGGACCACCACAACACATTACTGTCTGATCAGCCTCTCTCTGGAACAGAGGACCACCACAACACATTACTGTCTGGAACAGAGGACCACCACAACACATTACTGTCTGATCAGCCTCTCTCTGGAACAGAGGACCACCACAACACATTACTGTCTGGAACAGAGGACCACCACAACACATTACTGTCTGATCAGACTCTCTCTGGAACAGAGGACCACCACAACACATTACTGTCTGATCGGCCTTTCTCTGGAACAGAGGACCACCACAACACATTACTGTCTGGAACAGAGGACCACCACAACACATTACTGTCTGATCAGCCTCTCTCTGGAACAGAGGACCACCACAACACATTACTGTCCGATCAGCCTCTCTCTGGAACAGAGGACCACCACAACACATTACTGTCTGATCAGCCTCTCTCTGGAACAGAGGACCACCACAACACATTACTGTCTGATCAGCCTCTCTCTGGAACAGAGGACCACCACAACACATTACTGTCTGATCAGCCTCTCTCTGGAACAGAGGACCACCACAACACATTACTGTCTGATCAGCCTCTCTCTGGAACAGAGGACCACCACAACACATTACTGTCCGATCAGCCTCTCTCTGGAACAGAGGACCACCACAACACATTACTGTCTGATGGGGCGGCAGGTAGCTTAGTGGTTAAGAGCGTTGTGCCAGTAACCGAAAGGTCGCTGGTTCTAATCCCTGAGCTGACTAGGTGAAAAATCTGTCGATGTGCCCTTGAGCAAGGCACTTAACCCTAATTGCTCCTGTAAGTCGCTCTGGATAAGAGCGTCTGCTAAATGACTAAAATGTAAATGATCAGCCTCTCTCTGGAACAGAACACAGGGCCAGATTAACATGTAGAAATGTGACAAATGGACACATAAAAATAAAAATAAAGAAAACAATCAGTTTTCCGTTAAAACGATAAGAAGAATTCATAACATTTCAGGTGAATTCATAATGCAGAACATGCTATTGCGTATGACTCACAGTGGGTCCCTTTCAGATGCACCTGTACTACCATTACCTCCATTCCACCTCGCAAAGTGAAATGAATAGGCTGGGATCTGTTATACACAAGAGACTGAAGAATGAACTCATTAGCGGAGAAAAGAGCAGGTGAGACAACGCAAGGGAGAGAGAACAGGCAGAAACAACGGTCATCTGTATCTGGCAATGTCTTGTCTTACATGCATCGCTAATTAATCAAAAGAAGCCTAAAGTTCACATCTTCCTCTCTGGTTTTATTTCAATGACACAACTTTCCCCAGGCCCTTACAGCCGATCGTCTAGTTAGGATATAACATGGGAAATAATAGGTTTTGTGATAAAACTGCACATTTTGATTTACGTTTTGTTTTTCGGTTAGGGATTTTTTTTCTTAACATTAACGATCCCAATTTTGTTGAAAGGTTTTAGTACCCGCAGAACACCAGTCTCAACGTCAACAGATATAGCCCCTGGTTCTCCTCAGACTTGACTGCCCTTGACCAGCACAAAAACATTTGGATGTAGTCTATCACAGTGCCATCCGTTTTGTCACCAAAGCCCCATATACTACCCACCACTGTGACCTGTACTCTCTTGTTGGCTGGCCCTCACTACATATTCGTCACCAAACCCACTGGCTCCAGGTCATCTATAAATCACTGCTGGCAAAGAAAAAGTAATATCTCAGACTGGCCAATAAAAATAAAAGATTAAGACGTGCAAAAGAACACAGACACTGGACTTTTTCTTTGCAACTCTTCCTAGAAGGTCAGCATCCCCGAGTCGCCTCTTCACTGTTGATGTTGAGACTGGTGTTTTGCGGGTACTATTTAATGAAGCTGCCAGTTGAGGACCTGTGAGGCGTCTGTTTCTCAAACTAAACACTAATGTATTTGTCCTCTTGCTTAGTTGTGCACCGGGGCCTCCCACTCCTCTTTCTATTCTGATTAGAGCCAGTTTGCGCTGTTCTGTGAACTGAGTAGTACACAGCGTTGTACGACATCTTCAGTTTCTTGGCAATTTCTCGCATGGACTAGCCTTCATTTCTCAGAACATGAATAGACTGACGTGTTTCAGAAGAAAGTTATTTGTTTCTGGCCATTTTGAGCCTGTAATTGAACCCACAATTGCTGATGCTCCAGATACTCGACAAGTCTCAAGAAGGCCAGTTTTATTGCTTCTTTAATCAGCACAACAGTTTTCAGCTGTGCTAACATAATTGCAAAAGGGTTTTCTAATGATCAATTAGCCTTTTAAAATGATAAACCTGGATTAGCAAACACAACGTGCCATTGGAACACAGGACTGATGGTTGCTGATAATGGGCCTCTGTACGCCTATGTAGATATTCAACAACAAAAAAATATCAGCCGTTTCCAGCTACAATAGCCATTTACAACATGAACAATGTCTACACTGTTTTTCAGATCAATTTATTTAAAATTGACAAAGAAACTGCTTTTCTTTCGAAAACAAGGACATTTCTAAGTGACCCCAAACTTTTGAACGGTAGTGTAGGTGTTCATCTCACCATCTTTTCCCAATGCCAAGCCAGTCTGTCTTATTTGCAATGAAAATGTCACCGTTTGCAAATAATTCAATCTCAGACGTCATTATGAATCTAAGCAAAGTGGCCTTTCCCTCCCCAGACAGGACGTAGAAACACTGAAGCGTTAACTGCAAGCTACACACCACTGCTTTTTTTGGGCTGACATATTCTGTCACTTAAAACGGATTAAATCTGACAGTTACAAGGAAGAGGGTCAACAGTCGTGGTGGAACAACATGAGGCCTTTACTAGGAAGCTTGAGTTGTTGGATTTGGTACTTGTCATCTGGAAGACTAATGCACTCCAGCACACTGAAGAAAACGACAGGCAGAGGGACCAGGCCGCGGCATTATCACAGAGGACAGGCAGAGGGACCAGGCCGCGGCATTATCACAGAGGACAGGCAGAGGGACCAGGCCGCAGCATTATCACAGAGGACAGGCAGAGGGACCAGGCCGCACATTATCACAGAGGACAGGCAGAGGGACCAGCCGCAGCAATTATCACAGAGGACGGCAGAGGGACCAGGCCGCGGCATTATCACAGAGGCATCAGAGGGACCAGGCTCAGCGTTGCATTGTCACAGATGACATGGCAGAGGGCACAGACCGCAGCATTTGTACACAGAGGACAAGTGCAAGGGACCAGTCCGCAGCATTATCAGCAAGACAAGGACCAGGCCGCACATGTCAGAGAGGCAGACCTGGACCAGGCGCAGCATCGTCACAGAGACAGGCATGGACTCAGTCCGCAACATTGTCACCAGAGGACATGGCAGAGGGACCAGCCCACATTGGCACATAGTCTATGGAAATTCTTAAGCACTAGCGCACATACTTCTCCACCAGCATTAGAGGACTATAGCATGCCCAAGGATATCATTGTGTTTGTACGTGATCCTCTCACAGTTCTATAGTACATTACCCAGCAGGCTACTAATCAGTCTATAATACATTACCTAGTCCAGGCCACTCATCAGTCTATAATACATTACCCAGCCAGGCCACTCATCAGTCTATAATACATTACCTAGCCAGGCCACTCATCAGTCTATAATACATTACCTAGCCAGGCCACTCATCAGCCTTCTACAGAGCACAAAAAGAAAGGTCTTGAAGCCCTAATCATACACTATATGTACCAAAGTTTGTGGACACCCCTTCAAATTAGTGAATTCGGCTATTTCAGCCACACCCGTTGCTGACAGGTGTGTAAAATCGAGCACACCGCCATGCAATCTCCATAGACAAACATTGGCAGTAGAATGGCCTTACTGAAGAGGAGCTCAGTGACTTTCGACGTGGCACCGTCATAGGATGCCACATTTCCAACAAGTCAGTTCGTCAAATTTCTGCCCTGCTAGAGCTGCCCCGGTCAACTGTAAGTGCTGTTATTGTGAAGTGGAAACACGCTTCACCATCTGGCAGTCCGACGGACAAATCTGGGTTTGGCTGATGCCAGGAGAACGCTACCTTCCCCAATGCATAGTGCCAACTGTAAAGTTTGGTGGAGGAGGAATAATGGTCTGGGGCTGTTTTGCATGGTTCGGGCTAGGCCATCAAAAACCTTTGGGATGAATTGGAACGCCGACTGTGAGCCAAGGCCTAATCGCCCAACATCAGTGCCCGACCTCACTAATGCTCTTGTGGCTGAATGGAAGCAAGTCCCCGCAGCAATGTTCCAACATCTAGTGGAAAGCCTTCCCAGAAGAGTGGAGGCTGTTATAGCAGCACAGGGGGGGACCAACTCCATATTAATGCCCATGATTTTGGAATGAGATGCAGGTGTCCACATACTTTTGGTCATGTAGTGTATCTGGCTGAGCAGAATGGAGAATGTCAAACCGACTAGAGGGGAAGCGGCCAGAAAAGAAGAGAGCGGTCTAATTGGTTTAGTGTATTTCTTTGAAGTGGTCACAAAGTTAATGAGCATTGAGAAGGATTTATTAACATATGGGTATCTAACGGAAACAGAGTACTAATCTTTGAAATGTTTAGACAGTATGATAACAGATAACACACGTCAGTGTGAGGACTGGGTGTAAATAAACACAACAGAAAAATGGTAGATTTCAACATTCCTCGCAGCACGAAAGAGCCTGTTGGATGAAAGTAAACATTGTGTGAGCTGCATTATGGGTGAATGTAATATGCAGGATTCAGGTCTGGGGGGCTGTGGAATGTGTGGGGGGCTCAACAAATCATACCTGATCTCTGGGGTGACGATCTCTGCAGCCAGCGAATCAGAGCCCTCGTTACTGTCGAGTGCAACCATGCCTGGAGAAACACAAAAGACGTTACGTTAGACAGCAGGGGAGGATAAACAGAGCAGGAGTGTGTCTGAGTGACTGTTACCTGTAGAGAGTTGTCCTTCCTGAGCCTCAACAAAACGCAGCTCCTCAATGGTCTCCTTTAGTGAGTCTCTCTCTGACCTCATCCGCTGGAGAGGGGGGGGAGGAGAGCGAGAGGAGAGAGAAAGAAAGAGAGAGAGAGAGAGAGAGAGAGAGAGAGAGAGAATGAGAGAGAGAGAGAAAGAGAGGGGAGAGAGAGAGAAGAGAGAAGAGAGAGGAGAGAGGAGAGATGAGAGAGTAGCTGAGAGAGATTCGAGATGAGAGAGAGAGAGAGAGAGATATCTGTTGTTACAGACTGTTTCCTGTTCATACTCCCCTTCTGTTATTACAGATGACTGGTTGACAATGGAAAGTCAATGTTGACCTGTAGTTCTGTGCAGTCCTGTAAAGTGAAATGAACCATTGTTGCACCTACATCTTTTTCTTTCTGGAGAGAGTCCACCTTCTCCTTGAGTCTCTTGTATTCAAACTCCATCTTGTCTGTCTTTTTAGACTCCTCAGACAGCCTGTTCTGCAGCTCTACCACCTGGGGACAACAAGGCCACTCAATGTTCAACTCTCTCTCTCTCTATGTGTGTGTCTGTTTCTCCATCCACCTGTGTTCAGTCTCCATCCATACCTGTCTCTTGTAGGTCTCCAGCTGTCCTCTGGTGGTGTTGGCCTTGCGTACTTCTTCCTCCAGACTGACAGTGTTCTGCATGTACACAGTGTTCTTCTCCTCTAAGAGCTTGACCTGCCTCCTCAGGTCTCCCAGGTCCTCTAGCTTCTTCTTATAGGACGCCACCATGCCCTCCAGCTTGGAGGCCTTGTCTGACGAGTGTCTGTATTTACAGTTAGTGAATACATATATATTTTTTTATACTGGCCCCCCGTGGGAATCGAACCCACAACCCTGGCGTTGCAAACGCCATGCTCTATCAACTGAGCTACATCCCTGCCGGCCATTCCCTCCCCTACCCTGGACAACGCTGGGCCAATAGTGCGCCGCCCATGAGTCTCCCGGTCGCGGCCGGCTGCGACAGAGCCTGGATTCGAACCAGGATCTTTAGTGGCACAGTTAGCACTGCGATGCAGTGCCTTAGACCACTGCCCCACTTGGGAGAGCCGTGTGTATGACTCATGCACAAGCTGAGGTCAGTGTCTATGCAAAACGATGTGCCGCCAGTGGGCTGCCAACTATGTCGATGGCAGGCCAACTAGCGGACCACTACATGCTTACTAGCTGGGTTAACTAAGTCTTGGAGTTTTACCATGGTTGGGGTCAATTCCAATTAAACCGAAATTACAATTGAATTGACCCCAATCGTGAAAAACAGAGACACAGTTGTGTGAGTACATCCATCAAGTCCCTTCAGTGACTGGGCCTCATCAGCCAGGGTTAGGGGTTAGGGTGTAGGGTTAGGGGTTAGGGTGTAGGGTGGTTCCTACCTGAGTACGTCCATCTCGTCCTTCAGTGACTGGGCCTCATCAGCCAGGGTTAGGGGTTAGGGTGTAGGGTTAGGGGTTAGGGTGTAGGGTTAGGGGTTAGGGGTTAGGGTGTAGGGTTAGGGGTTAGGGTGTAGGGTTAGGGGTTAGGGTGTAGGGTGGTTCCTACCTGAGTACGTCCATCTCGTCCTTCAGTGACTGGGCCTCATCAGCCAGGGTTAGGGGTTAGGGTGTAGGGTTAGGGGTTAGGGTGTAGGGTTAGGGGTTAGGGTGTAGGGTTAGGGGTTAGGGTTAGGGGTTAGGGTGTAGGGTTAGGGGTTAGGGTGTAGGGTGGTTCCTACCTGAGTACGTCCATCTCGTCCTTCAGTGACTGGGCCTCATCAGCCAGGGTTAGGGGTTAGGGTGTAGGGTTAGGGGGTTAGGGTGTAGGGTTAGGGGTTAGGGTGTAGGGTTAGGGGTTAGGGTTAGGGGTTAGTGTGTAGGGTTAGGGGTTAGGGTGTAGGGTGGTTCCTACCTGAGTACGTCCATCTCGTCCTTCAGTGACTGGGCCTCATCAGCCAGGGTTAGGGGTTAGGGTGTAGGGTTAGGGGTTAGGGTGTAGGGTTAGGGGTTAGGGTGTAGGGGTTAGGGTTAGGGGTTAGGGTGTAGGGTTAGGGTTAGGGGGTTAGGGGTTAGGGGTTAGGGTTAGGGGTTAGGGGTTAGGGTGTAGGGTTAGGGGTTAGGGTGTAGGGTTAGGGGTTAGGGTGTAGGGTTAGGGTGTAGGGTTAGGGGTTAGGGTGTAGGGTGGTTCCTACCTGAGTACGTCCATCTCGTCCTTCAGTGACTGGGCCTCATCAGCCAGGGTTAGGGGTTAGGGTGTAGGGTTAGGGGTTAGGGTGTAGGGTTAGGGGTTAGGGTGTAGGGTTAGGGGTTAGGGTTAGGGGTTAGGGTGTAGGGTTAGGGGTTAGGGGTTAGGGTGTAGGGTTAGGGGTTAGGGTTAGGGGTTAGGGTGTAGGGTTAGGGGTTAGGGGTGTAGGGTGGTTCCTACCTGAGTACGTCCATCTCGTCCTTCAGTGACTGGGCCTCATCAGCCAGGGAGGTGAGCTCTTCGTTCTGTCCTCTCAGCTCGGTCAGCTCCTTCTCCAACTCCTCACAGCGGATACGATAGTCATCCTTCGCTGCCTCCAGCCTGCAGACACCACAGAGAAAAACATACACCTCAGTCCAAACTGAAACCCCACACACATCTGATGATGATGACAGATATCGATACACAAACTCACAGGAGGTCACTCACAGTGCCTCAAAAGCTTCAACTTGAGATTTGAGCTGATGAGGTTTCCATGCAAAGTGAAGTGCTGTCTTTGAGGTTGTTTGAGGACGTTGTGCTCAGTTGGTACCATCCCTGGATCCGCACTAAGCCACAGAAAATGCCCCAGACGGAGAGTGGCCTATTCTGGTCGAGTGCCTAAACCCATAGTCCAGTGGTTCCCAAACTCGGTCCTGGGAACCCCCAGGTGTGCACTTTTCAAATGCTGATTCAAAATGATAAACTTATCATCAAGCTTTGATCATTTGAATCAGCTGTGTAGTGCTAAGGCTAAAATCTAAATGTGCACCCAGTTTGGGAAACGCTGCCATAGTCTCCCAGTGACTCTCTCAGTGATGCCCCAAGGTCCTGTGGTTAACCAGACACTGTGGTGATGCCCCAAGGTCCTGTGGTTAACCAGACACCGTGGTGATGCCCCAAGGTCCTGTGGTTAACCAGACACTGTGGTGATGCCCCAAGGTCCTGTGGTTAACCAGACACCGTGGTGATGCCCCAAGGTCCTGTGGTTAACCAGACACTGTGGTGATGCCCCAAGGTCCTGTGGTTAACCTAAGACACCGTTGATGACCCAGTCAGAGTGAGTGAGTCCCTGGCCTCAAGGTAGTGAGGTTCCGTGGGTGAGGGTGACCCAGACACCATGGGTGAGATGACTCCCAGGCACTGTGTTTTTACCTCAGGTCAAACAGGGGCAGCGAGGGGACAGAGGCCACCACCGGGGGGTTAGGGCCAGGGCCGGGAGGGCAGGGTGAAAGGGAGGGGCTGGTAACACAGAGTGAGAGCGCCTGCTGTGAGAGCCCAACGGTTAGTGGCTGGTCTAGGATCAGTTTAGCCTTTTAGATCATATAATGAATAAGACGATATGGAGAGGGAGGACCTGATACTAGATCAACACTCCTACTCTGAGATGCTTTATTAATATCAATTTTCTACATCTTATTAATTCAGGCCCAGGTCTGGACTGGACAATAATAGAGGCCGGGGCACAGCTGATCTTCAGAGGTAAGACCGTCTCAAAGGGCATTAGTCCTATAGAGAAGAGCCTGGGAGGCAGTAATGGTATGGGAGGCTCTAGAGACTGGGAGGCAGTATGGTATGGGAGGCTCTAGATGACTCACACCGTCCCCTTTCCTCCCGGCCGGCTCGGCCCTCCCCTCTTGCTCCGTGGCTGAGCGACTCATTGCCAACTTACAGAACAGGGCTGCGGGCAGCTGAGCGAAAATGGAGGAAAACTAAACGTCTGGAGAACCTATCATCCTCTCACTCCCTCCTCTCTACCTACTCTTACTCTGTATCCGCTGCTAAAGCCCCTTTCTACCACTACATTTCAACCCTAGGAATCTCTTTTCCACCTTCTCCTCCCTCCTTAAATCCTCCACACCTCCCCTCCCTCTTCCCTCTCTGCGGACGACTTTGTCAACCACAAGGTTGATGACATCCGCTACTCATTCACTCAACCTATTGAGTCTCACTCACACAGAACTACCCTACGCCTTGACCTCTTTCTCCCCTCTCTCTCCAGATGACATCCTGAGACTAGTGAGGTCTGGCCGCCCGACAACCTGCCCGCTCGACCCCATCCCCTCCTCCAGACCATCTCTGGAGACCTTCTCCCATCCCTCATCAACTCATTCCTGACTACTGGCTGCATCCCCTCTGACTTCAAAATGGTCAGAGTTGCTCCCCTCCTCAAGAAACCAACACTCGACTCACTTGAGCGTGCTGTCTCTGATCAACTCTCACGCTATCTCTCTCTCAGAATGATCTTCTTGACCCTAACCAGTCAGGCTTCAAGACTGGTCACTCAACCGAGACTGCTCTTCTGTGTCACGGAGGCTCTCCACATTGCCAAAGCTGACTCTCTCTCTCCTCTGTTCTCATCCTCCTAGATCTATCAGCTGCCTTCGACATCGTGAACCATCCAATCCTCCTCTCCACCCTCTCAGGGTTGGGCGTCTCAGGCTCTGCACACTCTTGGATTGCATCTTACCTGGCAGGCCGCTCCTACCAGGTGGCGTGGAGAGGATCTGTGTCTGCACCACGTCCTCTCACTACTGGTGTCCCCCAGGGCTCGGTTCTAGGCCCTCTCCTCTTCTCTCTATACACCAAGTCACTCTGCTCCGTCATATCCTCACATGGTCTCTCCTATCATTGCTATGTGGATGACACTCAACTACTTTTCTCCTTCCCCCCCCTTCAGACACCCAGGTGGCGACAAGCATCTCTTGCGTGCCTGGCAAATATCTCAGCTTGGATGTCGGCCCACCACCTCAAGTTCAACCTCGACAAGACGGAACTGCTCTTCCCGGACATTATTTGGAAAGGCACACACCTGTCTATATAAGGTCTCACAGTTGACAGTGCATGTCAGAGCAAAAACCAAGCCATGAGGTCGATGGAATTGTCCGTAGAGCTCTGAGACAAGATTGTGTCGAGGCACAGATCTGGGGAAGGGTACCAAAACATTTCTGCAGCCTTCAAGGTCGCCAAGAACACAGTGGCCTCCATCATTTTTAAATGGAAGACGTTTGGAACCACCAAGACTTTTCCTAGAACTGGCCGCCCGGCCAATCTGAGCAATCGGGGGAGAAAGGCCTTAGTCAGGGAGGTGACCAAGAACCCAATGGTCACTCTGACAGAGCTCCAGAGTTCCTCTGTGGAGATGGGAGAACCTTCCAGAAGGACAACCATCTCTGCAGCACTCCACCAATCAGGCCTTTATGGTAGAGTGGCCAGACGGAAGCCACTCCTCAGTAAAAGGCACATGACAGCCCACTTGGAGTTTGCCAAAAGGCGCCTAAAGGACTCAGACCATGAGAAACAAGATTCTCTGATCTGATGAAACCAAGATTGAACTCTTTGGCCTGAATGCCAAGTGTCACGTCTGGAGGTAACCTGGCACCATACCTACGGTGAAGCATGGTGGTGGCAGCATCATGCTGTGGGGATGTTTTTCAGCAGCAGGGACTGGGAGACTAGTCAGGATCAAGGGAAAGATGAACGGAGCAAAATACAGAGAGATCCTTGATAAAAACCTGCTCCAGAGCACTCAGGACCTCAGACTGGGGCGAAGGTTCACCTTCCAACAGGACAACGACCCTAAGCACACAGCCAAGACAAGTCTCTGAATGTCCTTGAGTGGCCCAGCCAGAGCCCGGACTTGAACCCGATCTAATATCTCTGGAGAGACCTGAAAATAGCTGTGCAGGGATGCTCCCCATCCAACCTGACAGAGCTTGAGAGGATCTGCAGAGAAGAATGGGAGAAACTGCCCAAATACAGGTGTGCCAAGCTTGTAGCGTCATACCCAAGAAGATTCAAGGCTGTAATCGATGCCAAAGGTGCTTCAACAAAGTGCTGAGTAAATGGTCTGAATACTTATGCAAAATGTGATATTTCCGTTTTTTAAATAGTTGTTATATTTTTAAATAAAATTAACTGTTTTTGCTTTGTCATTATGAGGTATTGTGTTTAGATTGATGAAGAAAAAATAATATTCCATTTGAGAACAAGGCTGTGAAGGGGTCTGAATACTTTTACGAATGCACTGTATACATTTTAAACACAAAGGGATTCTGTAATTGTAAGCGGATCGAGCGAAGCACGTGTGACAGAAACGGACTGAAACTGCCCTGTCATCAATCTGACTGCAGGGCGTGAACTAGAGGGGCTTGACCTAAGAACTGAACGACAAACTCATTCATAGTGCTCTTAAGGTGGGGCTGAGAACCAGCTATGTCACTACCTCCCTTCGTCACTGCCTGTCCTCCCTCCCCAGCCCATCTCCCTCCCTGTCAAGCCCTCCTCCACCCCAGCCCATCTCCCTCCCTGTCAAGCCCTCCTCCACCCCAGCCCATCTCCCTCCCTGTCAAGCCCTCCTCCACCCCAGCCCATCTCCCTCCCTGTCAAGCCCTCCTCCACCCCAACCCATCTCCCTCCATGTCAAGCCCTCCTCCACCCCAGCCCATCTCCCTCCCTGTCAAGACCTCCTCCACCCCCCAGACTGGACCTAGGCTCCACCCCCCCAGACTGGACCTAGGCTCCACCCCCCAGACTGGACCTAGGCTCCACCCCCCAGACTGGACCTAGGCTCCACCCCCCAGACTGGACCTAGGCTCCACCCCCCCAGACTGGACCTAGGCTCCACCCCCCCCAGACTGGACCTAGGCTCCACCCCCCCCAGACTGGACCTAGGCTCCACCCCCCCAGATCTGGACCTAGGCTCCACCCCCCAGACTGGACCCTAGGCTCCACACCCCCCAGACTGGACCTAGGCTCCACCCCCCAGACTGGACCTCGGCTCCACCCCCCCAGACTGGACCTAGGCTCCACCCCCCCAGACTGGACCTAGGCTCCACACCCCCAGACTGGACCTAGGCTCCACCCCCCCAGACTGGACCTAGGCTCCACCCCCCCAGACTGGACCTAGGCTCCACCCCCCCAGACTGGACCTAGTGCTCCACCCCTGGACCTAGGCTCCACCCCCCAGACTGGACCTAGGCTCCACCCCCCCCCAGATGGACCTAGGGGTCTTACCTGAAGGTCTCCTCCTGGAGCTGTTCTAGGTGTGTCTGCAGCTGCAGGTGTCTGCGTCCCACAGGGCTGTTCAGGTCTTCTATGGAGTCCGACTGGTTGAGACGCTCCATGAGGATCTGGTTCTCAGCCAGGAGACTACCCCTCTCCTCCTGTAGTGCTGCCACCTGGGGGGGCAGATGTGTAATTACATATACCAACCATCTGCTATTTACTTCAGTCTTTACAAGAATATCAGAGTTTTCTCTTTTGTATACATGAAAGGTACAGTAGTTACAAATCTGAATTGTTCTTCAACAGCAAAACTTTTTTTTCATGACCGCATTTCATGATCACATACAATTGATTTCAAATCAGGAAAAAAGCAAGCACACAAAACAAACCCACAAACTCTTTTCCAGTGCCAACTGGGCAACATGCTTTTATGTGGCCTTCTCAACAACGTGATGGCAGGATCAAACTCACTCCACACAGAAGCCAAGCAGGAGTGGTGTGTTCAGAAACAGTCATGGTGGTTCTACCTACTGTGTATGACTTCATTAAAACAGGCAGCTTAAGTGAAATGTAGCTCAGCAGCTGATAAAGCAACCTAACCCTAAAACACAGAGACCTACTGTCCTGTGAAACAGCTAACCCTAAAACACAGAGACCTACTGTCCTGTGAAACAGCTAGCCCTAAAACACAGAGACCTACTGTCCTGTGAAACAGCTAACCCTAAAACACAGAGACCTACTGTCATGTGAAACACCTAACCCTAAAACACAGAGACCTACTGTCCTGTGAAACAGCTAACCCTAAAACACAGAGACCTACTGTCCTGTGAAACAGCTAACCCTAAAACACAGAGACCTACTGTCCTGTGAAACAGCTAACCCTAAAACACAGAGACCTACTGTCCTGTGAAACAGCTAACCCTAAAACACAGAGACCTACAGTACTGTGAAACACCTAACCCTAAAACACAGAGACCTACAGTACTGTGAAACACCTAACCCTAAAACACAGAGACCTACAGTACTGTGAAACACCTAACCCTAAAACACAGAGACCTACTGTAGTGTGAAACAGCTAGCCCTAAAACACCAGTTCAACAACAAACGTGTTTTCTTCTGGCTCCAGAGAGACATCTTAAAGTGAAAGTTCTTAAAGAACTCTCTTCTCCAGCCACAATACCCTACTACTCTGGCATAGAAGCAAATGCTAACTAATGCATGGATCTCCACCTAGGTGGACGTGGAACTGCATAGATGACCAATGAGTCCATTGGCAGTTGGCAGCCAGGTAGGTTAACTCCCCATTGGCCATCTGTTGAGGAGGACCCCCCATTGGCCATCTGTTGAGGAGCACCCCATTGGCCATCTGTTGAGGAGCACCCCATTGGCCATCTGTTGAGGAGGACCCCCCATTGGCCATCTGTTGAGGAGGACCCCCCATTGGCCATCTGTTGAGGAGCACCCCATTGGCCATCTGTTGAGGAGGACTCCCATTGGCCATCTGTTGAGGAGCACCCCATTGGCCATCTGTTGAGGAGGACCCCCATTGGCCATCTGTTGAGGAGCACCCCATTGGCCATCTGTTGAGGAGCACCCCATTGGCCATCTGTTGAGGAGCACCCCATTGGCCATCTGTTGAGGAGGACCCCATTGGCCATCTGTTGAGGAGCTCCCCCATTGGCCATCTGTTGAGGAGGACTCCCATTGGCCATCTGCATGTTTCTCTACTGCTCTATTCTCTAGGCTAGAGGTTAAGAGCGTTGGGCCAGTAACCGAAAGGTCGGTTACTGGCCTGAGCTGACTAGGTGAAATCTGTCAATGTCCCCTTGAGCAAGGCACTACACCCTAATTGCTCCTGTAAGTCGCTCTGGATAAGAGCATCTGATAAATGACTAAAATGTAAAATGGTGAGACAGAAGACTGCTGCCGAGACCAAGCACCCAAGCACTTCTTACCACATGGACGTCTTGGTAACACACAAGGAAGTAAACATGGGGAGGGGGAGGAGAATTAGTCTGGACGGGCTGGGTGGGTGGTGCTTGGTGACACACAGAACTGAGATGGGCAGGACAGGACAGCTGACTAATACGGCACACAGGCTGGGTCTCAAATGGCACCCTATTCCCTATATAGTACACTACTATTGACCAGGGCCCATAAGGCATCACATAGGGCTCTGGTCAAAAGTAGTGCACAATATAGTGAATAGGGTGCCATTTTGGACGCACCCACAGTTAAAGGAGCCTGGATTTCAAACAGGACACGCTATTATAGAAGCAGACAGCAGACTTCAAATCCAGGGCTTTAAATTCACACGCCAAAACGACAAGGACTGAAAGAAATTAGGAATAAAAAGGTTATTTACCCTCTCCTCTAGTTCAATATACTCTAACCTCAGTCTATCTCGCTGCTCCTGTACATGGAAGGCCTTCAAAGCAAGGCACAGAGTAATGGAGTTTCAGTTCAGACAGAACAGGACAAGAGAATAGAATAGAACAGGAGAATAGAATATAACAGGGGAATAGAATAGAACAGGGGAATAGAATAGAACAGGAGAAGAATAGACCAGGATAATAGAATAGAACAGGAGAATAGAATAGATAAAAAAATAAACCTGAAAATTGAACAGGAGAAAGAATGAAAAGGGGAATATAATAGAATGAACAGGAAAAAAAAAACAGAAAAGGAAAAATAGAAAAAAATAAAAAAAACGGAAAAAATTAAAAATAACAGGAAAAAAAATCGAATAGGGGAAAAGGTTAAAAGAATAAACAGGAAATTGAACCCGGGGAAATAAATAAACAGGAAAAACCGAATGAACAGAAAAATAGAAAAGAAAAGGGGAATCAATAGAACAAAAAAATAGAACCAGGAAATTAAAATGAACAGGAAAATAAACAATTTAAATAAAATAAGAACAGGGGAAAGGGAAAGAACGGAGAATAGGAAAGTGGAAACAAAATAGAATAGAACCCGGAGAATAGAAATGAACAAAATAATAAAAAAGGAAAAGGGGAATAAATAGAACAGGAAAAAAAGGGGAAAAAAAGAAAAATTTAAAAGAATAAAATGAACAGGGGAAAAAGGAAAAAACAGGGGAATAGAAATAAACAGAAAAATAATTAAAAAACATGGAAAAATAGAAAAGGAAAAATAAATAGAACAGGAAAAAAAGAAAGAAATTTAAAAAGAACAGGATAATAAATAGAAAGAAAATGAAAAGAAAAAAAAGAACCCGGGGAAAAAAATAGAACACCAGGGGAAAAAAGAATAGAACCCGGAAATTGAATAAACAAAAAGGGATAGAAAAAAAAGAATAGGTAACAGGGGAAATAGAATTAGAACAGAAGAAAGGGGGAAAAGAAAAAGGAAAAAGAATAGAACAGGAAATCAATAACCAAAAATAATATAACCCGGAAAAATAAAAGGAAAAGGGAGAATAGAACAGGATAATAAAAATAGAACAGGAAAAAAGAAATAGGGGAAAAAGAACAAAAAAAAAGAATTTGAACAGAAAAGAATGGAAAAGGGGAATTTGAAAAACGGAGAATAAATAGAAAAAATTTAAAATAGAACCAGTAAATGGGAAAAGAATAAAAGAATGAAAGGGAAAACGAATAGAAAAAGGAGAAAAAGAAAAAAACAGGGGAATTTGAATAGAACAGGATAAAAACATAAAAACAAATTTTAAATAAAAAAGGGGAATTAAAAAGAAAAAGAACAGGGAATAAATAGAAAGGAACGGGGAAAAGAAAGGGGGAATAAATGAAAAGGGAATAAATAGAACCGGGGAAAAAGAATAGAAAAAAGGGAACTAAATAGAAAAAGGGGAATCGAAAAGAATAATTTTTAAAAGGAAAAATTTAAAAAGAATAGAACGGAAGAAATGAAAGGAAATAATTAAAAACCCCAAATCAGAATAAATAGAACAGGAAAATGAATAGAAAGGAAATAAAATAGAACAAAAAGGGGAAATCGAAATAAAAAAAACAAAAAAATAGAAAGAACAGAAAAATAAAAAGAAAGGGGAAATGAAGAAACCCGGGGAAAAAATAGAACAGGGGGAATAGAATAGAACGGGAATAGAAAAGAAAATGAGAATAGAAATAAGGGGAACCCTAGAAATAATAGAAATAAAATAAACAAAAAGGAAGAATAGGAAAAGAACTAGAATAGAACAGAAATAAATAGAACAAGAATAGTAGAACAGGGAAAAAATAAACAGGGGAATAAAAAACATTAAAGAATAAACAAAGGGGAATAGAAAAGAACCCAAAAATAAATGGGGAAATTTAAAGAGAAATAAATAGAAATTAAATAGAACAAGGGGAATAGAAAAGAACAGGGAATAATAACAGGGAATAAATAAACATGAGAATATAATAGAACCAGAATAAAGGGGAAATGAAAAAAAAGGAAAAATAACAGGAAAAATAGAATAAAAAAAAGAACAGGAGAAAAAACAAGAGAAAAAAAATAAGGGGAAAGGAAAAAATAAAAAATAGAACATTAGAAAGAGAACAGGAAGAAAAGAATAGAAAATACCCCAAATAAAATAGAACAATTTGAAAAAATAGAACCCGGGGAAATAATAAAAAGGAGAAATTTAAAAAAAGGGTTTGGAAAAGAACAGGGGAATAGAACAGGTAAAGGAAATAGAACAGGAGAATAGAAAGGGGAAAAAGAAAAAGAAAAGGAGAAAAGAATTTGAACAGGAAATAGAAAAGAACAGGGAATAAATAAAAGGGAAAAAAGAAAAGAACGGGGAATAGAATAGAAAAGGAGAATAGAATTTAAAAAGGGAAAAAACATGTAAAAAAAAGAATTAAAACCCAAAAATAGAAAAAGGAAAAATAGAAAAAGAACAGAGGGGAAAGAATAGAAAGGATAATGAAAAAAGAAAAAAAGAACAGGGGAATTAGAATAAAAAGGAGAAAAGAAATAGAAACCAAAAAACCAAAAATAACATGGAAGAATAGAATATAACAGAGAAAAAGAATAAACATTTGAAAGATAGAAAAAAAGGAGGGAAAAAATGAAACCCTTTAATAAAAGAACCCCCCCGAATCGAATAGAACCGGGGAAATAAAAACCCGGGGAAATATTTAAAGGGAAAACTTTAGAAATAAAAAAATAAAAGAAATTTAAAAAAAGGGAAAATAGAATAGAAAGGAAAATGAATAAACGGGGAATAGAATAGGGAAAAGAGAATAAGGGAAAGAATCGGGGAAATCAAATAAAAACAAAAATAAATAGAATAAAAAACCAAAAAAAAATTGAATAAAAGAACAGGAGAATAGAAAGAACGAAATAGAATAAAACGGGAAATAATAACAGAAATAGATAACCGAAATAGAACGGAACAGAAATATAAAAGGAAATAGAATAGAACGGAAATAGATAAAACCCGGAAATAAATAGAACATGAATAAAATAAACAGGAATGAATAGAAAGGGAATAGAATAACAGAAAAAACTGATAAAAACAGGAATTTGGTATAAATAACAGGAGAATGCCTAGAAGGATAATAGAATAGAACAGGGAGAATGAAATAGAAAGGAGGGAATAGAATATAACAGGAGAATAGAATAGAATAGGATAGAATAGAACAGGACAATGTTATCAAATAGAGCAGAGAACAGATGGAATACAGTACTCAGTTCTAGAATACTAGAATGTAGAAAAGCTGGATGCCATTTGGTGTTATTGGTGGGATCAGATAGCCTAAATTGAATGCAGTCCTACCATGTTTAGAGGTTTTCACAGGTCCAACAGACTCCAAATTCGGGTCCTAAATTCTGACTTTTGTCTCGGATCTGGGTCGGGTCTGATTTAAACTCAGCAACAAAATAAATGTCCTCTCACTGTCAACTGCGTTCATTTTCAGCAAACCTAACATGTGTAAATATTTGTATGAACATAACAAGATTCAACAACTGAGACATAAACTGAACAAGTTCCACAGACATGTGACAAACAGAAATGAAATAATGTGTCCCTGAACAAAGGGGGGGTCAAAATCAAAAGTAACAGTCAGTATCTGGTGTGGCCACCAGCTGCATTAAGTACTGCAGTGCATCTTCTCCTCATGGACTGCACCAGATTTGCCAGTTCTTGCTGTGAGATGTTACCCCACTCTTCCACCAAGGCACCTGCAAGTTCCCAGACATTTCTGGGGGGGAATGGCCCTAGCCCTCACCCTCCGATCCAACAGGTCCCAGACGTGCTCAATGGGATTGAGATCCGGGCTCTTCGCTGGCCATGGCAGAACACTGACATTCCTGTCTTGCAGGAAATCACGCACAGAACGAGCAGTATGGCTGGTGGTATTGTCATGCTGGAGGGTCATGTCAGGATGAGCCTGCAAGAAGGGTACCACATGAGGGAGGAGGATGTCTTCCCTGTAACGCACAGCGTTGAGATTGCCTGCAATGACAACAAGCTCAGTCCGATGATGCTGTGACACACCGCCCCAGACCATGACGGACCCTCCACCTACAAATCGATCCCGCTCCAGAGTACAGGCCTCGGTGTAACGCTCATTCCTTCAACAATAAAACGCGAATCCGACCATCACCCCTGGTGAGACAAAACCGCGACTCGTCAGTGAAGAGCACTTTTTGCCAGTCCTGTCTGGTCCAGCGATGGTGGGTTTGTGCCCATAGGCGACGTTGTTGCCGGTGATGTCTGGTGAGGACCTGCCTTACAACAGGCCTACAAGCCCTCAGTCCAGCCTCTCTCAGCCTATTGCGGACAGTCTGAGCACTGATGGAGGGATTGTGCGTTCCTGGTGTAACTCGGGCAGTTGTTGTTGCCATCCTGCACCTGTCCCGCAGGTGTGATGTTCGGATTTACCGATCCTGTGCAGGTGTTGTTAGACGTGGTCTGCCACTGCGAGGTCTTAGGCGTCTCACAGTACAGACATTGCAATTTATTGCCCTGGCCACATCTGCAGTCCTCATTTTTCCTTGCAGCATGCCTAAGGCACGTTCACGCAGGTGAGCAGTGACCCTGGGCATCTTTCTTTTGGTGTTTTTCAGAGTCAGTAAAAAGGCCTCTTTAGTGTCCTAAGTTTTCATAACTGTGACCTTAATTGCCTACTGTCTGTAAGCTGTTAGTGTCTTAACGACTGTTCCACAAGTGCATGTTCATTAATTGTTTATGGTTCATTGAACAAGCATGGGAAACAGTGTTTAAACCCTTTACAATAAAGATCTGTGAAGTCATTTCGATTTTTACGAATTATCTTTGAAAGACAGGGTCCTGAAAAAGGAAGTTTATAATAAGGGTCTCGGGTATGTGCAATTAAAATGTATTTACCGACTGAACCTGTCCTCTGTTCATTTAATTTGTGTGGGGTAATGAGAACTGTCCTCTGTTCAACTGTCCTCTGTGGTCCTCTCTAGCTCAGCTGGTAGAGCACGGCGCTTGTAACGCAAAGGTAGTGGGTCAATCCCCGGGACCACCCCATACACAAAAATGTATGCACGCATGACTGTAAGTCGCTTTGGATAAAAGCGTCTGCTAAATGGCATATTATATTATATTATATTATTTAATTTGTGTGGGGTAATGAGAACTGTCCTCTGTTCATTTAATTTGTGTGGGGTAATGAGAACTGTGCAAGCTTGATATCTGTGTCAGCCAGTTGCAACTCAATGAAACATATAGCTGACAGTAAAGTCCAGCTGAAACTGGTTCCGGCTGCTCACCTCACGTGTGCCTGCTGCTGAGGAGAAAGACAGCAAGTGAAAGGAGCCTTGTCCAGGCTACTGTTGATTGAGAAGATGGAGGCCTTTTTCACTGAAGTAAAACATAATTAGAGAAGAAAGAGTGTAGTGAAAAGAAGCCGACAAGGGGAATGTCCTCGCGGACAAAGTTTAACATTGTAGTGGACAAAGATGAGAAGAACGTTGGCACGGCCAAATGGACCGTGTGAATCATGAGAAGAACGTTGGCACAGCCAAATGGACCGTGTGAATCATGAGAAGAACGTTGGCACGGCCAAATGGACCGTGTGAATCATGAGAAGAACGTTGGCACGGCCAAATGGACCGTGTGAATCTCGCTATTCCGGTTTGATGCAATTTTCTATATTTCTATTATTTATTTTCGTATTTATTATAATTTGTTTTATCATTATTATTATTTTAGGCCTATTTAAAAATCTCAAATAGTTATTTAAATATGCAAAAAGTGTTTTGTTTTATTTTTATGAGTGGGCTAAATTAAGTTCGAAGTGTCTTTTTAATTTTGTGCTCCGTATTTAGTTTAAGATAGGTTAAAAGTAGGCCTGTTATAAAATAAATAGCATTAGCCTATTGTTGTCATTTGTTGGGTAGGCACTTGCCTTTGTTGGTAATTGCTGCAAAATAGGCCTGTTCAAAACTTTTGTGAAAATTTAAACCAGTTCTTTATTAAAATGTTTTGTTTCATTCTATTCAGCCATTTTCTTTGGCCAAATTAAGTTCCAACTGTAAATGTTGTGTTTGACGTGGATCATTTGGCCAAATCTCCCTCGTTTATTGATGGCGCTGGCAGCGCCCAGTCAGAGGGTTCTTTATCACTCTTTCTACTCTCGGATCTGAACCAGCACCGGATTGTTTGGGTCTGTTTTTCCACAAGCCTTTTCGGAACGGGTCTGACTGTCCTCAGGTCCATGGAACGGGTCTGACTGTCCTCAGGTCCATTCGGAACGGGTCTGACTGTCCTCATGTCCATTCGGAACGGGTCTGACTGTCCTCATGTCCATTCGGAACGGGTCTGACTGTCCTCATGTCCATTCGGAACGGGTCTGACTGTCCTCATGTCCATTCGGAACGGGTCTGACTGTCCTCATGTCCATTCGGAACGGGTCTGACTGTCCTCATGTCCATTCGGAACGGGTCTGACTGTCCTCATGTCCATTCGGAACGGGTCTGACTGTCCTCATGTCCATTCGGAACGAGTCTGACTGTCCTCAGGTCCATTCGGAACGGGTCTGACTGTCCTCATGTCCATTCGGAACGAGTCTGACTGTCCTCATGTCCATTCGGAACGGGTCTGACTGTCCTCATGTCCATTCGAAAAGTGTCTGACTGTCCTCAGGTCCATTCGGAACGGGTCTGACTGTCCTCAGGTCCATTCGGAACGGGTCTGACTGTCCTCAGGTCCATGGAACGGGACTGACTGTCCTCAGGTCCATGGAACGGGACTGACTGTCCTCAGGTCCATGGAACGGGACTGACTGTCCTCAGGTCCATGGAACGGGACTGACTGTCCTCAGGTCCATGGAACGGGACTGACTGTCCTCAGGTCCATGGAACGGGACTGACTGTCCTCAGGTCCATTCGGAACGGGTCTGACTGTCCTCAGGTCCATTTGGAACGTGTCTCATTTTTTGAAAATGTATTTATGCATATCGGGATCGGGTTGAAAAGCCACTGATCCATTTTGGAATGGGTCCAACTTTTTGGACCAGTGAAGACCTCTACTGTAAACCTTTACCCATGGTCTTCATATGTAGGTTTTAACCATTGCACTGAGGATATTCATTCCAACAACCATTATAACAAAGGTTTGACTTACTTTCAACTATAGGACACCATAGTGAACCATGACCTTGAACTACAGCTGTCCAGTATCTAATTGAAGTCAGAGAGAGCCCTGTTTACGTAAAGGAATAGAACCAAACTTAAGGCCAACCTGCATGTCCAGCTCGTGACATCTCTGTGCGATCTCCTCCTTGGTGGCTAGAGCCTGGTTCAGATCCTCCACCGTCTTCTTCAGCTGGAAACAGAACTAATACGTCAGAACTAACATGGAAGAATCCAAACAAAAGGCTGATACACTAAATAATGTTTATTCTGTTAAGACACAATGTAATGTAGCAAGAGAACATTCGCTGCAACATCTTACCTGTCTATCTATGTCAGCGTACGAGTCGTTTCCTCCCATAACTGGACACTCTTTGCTCATCAGCTACAACACAGAGACCATACACAGTGTGATGTCATCAGCTACAACACAGAGACCATACACTGTGTGATGTCATCAGCTACAACACAGAGACCATACACAGTGTGATGTCATCAGCTAAAACATATGGAGACCATACACAGTGTGATGTCATCAGCTACAACACATGGAGACCATACAGTGTGATGTCATCAGCTACAACACATGGAGACCATACAGTGTGATGTCATCAGCTACAACACATGGAGACTACACACAGTGTGATGTCATCAGCTACAACACATGGAGACCACATACAGTGTGATGTCATCAGCTACAACACATGGAGACCATACAGTGTGATGTCATCAGCTACAACACATGGAGACCACATACAGTGTGATGTCATCAGCTACAACACATGGAGACCATACAGTGTGATGTCATCAGCTACAACACATGGAGACCACATACAGTGTGATGTCATCAGCTACAACACATGGAGACCATACAGTGTGCTGTCATCAGCTACAACACATGGAGACCACACACAGTGTGATGTCATCAGCTACAACACATGGAGACCATACAGTGTGATGTCATCAGCTACAACACATGGAGACCATACAGTGTGATGTCATCAGCTACAACACATGGAGACCATACAGTGTGATGTCATCAGCTACAACACATGGAGACCATACAGTGTGATGTCATCAGCTACAACACATGGAGACCATACAGTGTGATGTCATCAGCTACAACACATGGAGACCACACAGTGTGATGTCATTAGCTACAACACATGGAGACCATACAGTGTGATGTCATCAGCTACAACACATGGAGACCATACAGTGTAGTATGTCATATAAGGACACAGAGTAAAAAACACACCCATTTCAAATGTTTACAAAGGCTTACCTCTTGAATGGCTGTCATGACAACATGTTGAACAGATTCCTCCAACATCATTATGGTCTGGATGTATTCTAGAGGGGCAGAGGAAGACAGGACGAATGACTACATGTTCAGTCTAAGAAGCACTCTGTTGCACAATGACAAGAACTGAATGTGATGAAGCCGTGAGATAAACTGGAAGCCTCATCTTCCTCACTTCCTCAACTGAACTCTGTGTACTGTCTAGACTCTAGGACAAGGCTGTGTACTGTCTAGACTCTAGGACAAGGCTGTGTACTGTCTAGACTCTAGGACAAGGCTGTGTACTGTTTAGAGACTCTAGGACAAGGCTGTGTACTGTCTAGACTCTAGGACAAGGCTGTGTACTGTCTAGACTCTAGGACAAGGCTGTGTACTGTCTAGACTCTAGGACAAGGCTTTGAACTGTATAGAGACTCTAGGACAGGGCTGTGTACTGTCTAGACTCTAGGACAAGGCTGTGTACTGTCTAGACTCTAGGACAAGGCTGTGTACTGTCTAGACTCTAGGACAAGGCTGTGTACTGTCTAGACTCTAGGACAAGGCTGTGTACTGTCTAGACTCTAGGACAAGGCTGTGTACTGTCTAGACTCTAGGACAAGGCTGTGTACTGTCTAGACTCGAGGACAAGGCTGTGTACTGTCTAGAGACTCTAGGACAAGGCTGTGTACAATAATAGCTCAATAATAACTAGGAAAAGTCTGCAGACAATAATAACTCTAGGACAAGGCTGTGTACAATAATAACTCAATAATAACCCCAGGACAAGGCTGTGTACAATAATATCTCAAGACAAGTCTGTACAATAATAATTCAAGGACAAGTCTGTGTACACTAATAACTCAATGATAACTCTAGGACAAGGCTGTGTACACTAATAACTCTAGGACAAGGCAGTGTACAATAACTCAATAATACCTCTAGGACAAGGCTGTGTACAATAATACCTCTAGGACAAGGCTTTGTACAATAATAACTCCAGGACAAGGCTGTGTACAATAATAACTCAATAATAACTAGGAAAAGTCTGCATACAATTATAACTCTAGGACAAGGCTGTGTACAATAACTCTAGGACAAGTCTGTGTACACTAATAACTCAATGATAACTCTAGGACAAGGCTGTGTACACTAATACCTCATTAACTCTAGGACAAGGCTGTGTACAATAATACCTCAAGGACAAGGCTTTGTACAATAATACCTCTAGGAGAAGGCTGTGTACAATAATACATCTAGGACAAGGCTGTGTACAATAATACCTCAAGGACAAGGCTTTGTACAATAATACCTCTAGGAGAAGGCTGTGTACAATAATACCTCTAGGACAAGGCTGTGAACTGTAATACCTCTAGGATAACGCTGTGTTGTAATAACTCTCAAGACAAGGCTGTGTACACTAATAACTCAATGATAACTAGGACAAGGCTTTGTACAATAATAACTCCAGGACAAGGCTGTGTACAATAATAACTCAATAATAACTAGGAAAAGTCTGCATACAATTATAACTCTAGGACAAGGCTGTGTCCAATAACTCTAGGACAAGTCTGTGTACACTAATAACTCAATGATAACTCTAGGACAAGGCTGTGTACACTAATACCTCATTAACTCTAGGACAAGTCTGTGTACACTAATAACTCAATGATAACTCTAGGACAAGGCTGTGTACAATAATACCTCTAGGAGAAGGCTGTGTACAATAATACCTCTAGGAGAAGGCTGTGTACAATAATAACTCTAGTACAAGGCTGTGTACAATAATACCTCTAGGAGAAGGCAGTGTACAATAACTCAATAATACCTCTAGGAGAAGGCTGTGTTGTAATAACTCTCAAGACAAGGATGTGTACACTAATAACTCAATGATAACTAGGACAAGGCTTTGTACAATAATAACTTCAGGACAAGGCTGTGTATTAGAACTCTAGGACAAGTCTGTGTACACTAATAACTCCATGATAACTCTAGGACAAGGCTGTGTACACTAATACCTCATTAACTCTAGGACAAGTCTGTGTACACTAATAACTCAATGATAACTCTAGGACAAGGCTGTGTACAATAATACCTCTAGGAGAAGGCAGTGTACAATAACTCAATAATACCTCTAGGAGAAGGCTGTGTTGTAATAACTCTCAAGACAAGGATGTGTACACTAATAACTCAATGATAACTAGGAAAAGTCTGCATACAATTATAACTCTAGGACAAGGCTGTGTTCAATAACTCTAGGACAAGTCTGTGTACACTAATAACTCAATGATAACTCTAGGACAAGGCTGTGTACACTAATACCTCATTAACTCTAGGACAAGTCTGTGTACACTAATAACTCAATGATAACTCTAGGACAAGGCTGTGTACAATAATACCTCTAGGAGAAGGCTGTGTACAATAATAACTCTAGTACAAGGCTGTGTACAATAATACCTGCTGTGTACAATAATACCTCGAGGAGAAGGCAGTGTACAATAACTCAATAATACCTCTAGGAGAAGGCTGTGTACAATAATACCTCTAGGACAAGGCTGTGAACTGTAATACCTCTAGGATAACGCTGTGTTGTAATAACTCTCAAGACAAGGATGTGTACACTAATAACTCAATGATAACTAGGACAAGGCTGTGTACACTAATAACTATAGGACAAGGCAGTGTACAATAACTCAATAATACCTCTAGGACAAGGCTGTGTACAATAATACCTCTAGGAGAAGGCTGTGTACAATAATAACTCTAGGACAAGGATGTGTACAATAATAACTAAATGATAACTCTAGTACAAGGCTGTGTACAATAATAACTCCAGGACAAGGCTGTGTACAATATTAACTCTAGGACAAGGCTGTGTACAATAATAACTCCAGGACAACACAATAATAACTCTAGGACAAACATATTGCTCACCTGCTGTAGAGGACAAGAGAGAGCCATGAGAAAATGAGTTTTGATCAGTCATGGAAATAAAAGTACTGTAAAACAATGAGTTTTGGTGCAGGTACAGCAAACTAGCGCAAAAATAATATTGCGATATTGTCAGAACTATATACGATATATCGTCAAAAATAATATCCCGATATGTAACTGTATGGATTTTGTCCCCATCACTAATATACCAGGTAGCCAAGCCCATGCTGAGCAGACAGACAGACAGACAGACAGACAGACAGACAGACAGACAGACACACCTTGTTTCTGCTCACAGTTGACAGCGCAGCCTAGTATGAGTTGCAGCATCCTGCCCAGCTCTGCAGCGTCTGAGTGTTCTCCTATCAGGCTGATGTCTGGCAGCGTGAAGTCATCGATCTGCTGCTGTAGGACCTCCTGGTTGTAGTCCAGTATACCTTTCAACACCTTCTTTAGATTACTGATCTGAAAAGAGGAGTGAAGATGTGAGATTGGGAATGTGACACTGACAAGGGAATGGACATGTATGACAAAGGCTTGAGAGCAGATGACAGCAACACAAAAAAGACAATGTATTAAAACGACCACCATGTATCACCATCATACCTTTAGCCGCCAGTTATCTCCCACCTCAGGCTTGATCCTACTGATCCAGTTGTCAGTGAAATACACAATGTCTCTGGAGAAGAGAAAGGTAAGTGGTCACAATTGGGAGAAAGAAAGTGAAGAGAGAAGCTACAACGCCTAGCCACAATACCTAGCTACAACGCCTAGCTACAACACCTAGCCACAACACCTAGCTACAACACCTAGCCACAACGCCTAGCTACAACACCTAGCTACAACACCTAGCCACAACACCTAGCCACAACACCTAGCTACAACACCTAGCCACAACACCTAGCCACAATACCTAGCCACAACGCCTAGCTACAACGCCTAGCCACAATATCTAGCTACAACACCTAGCCACAAAACCTAGCTACAACGCCTAGCCACAATACCTAGCCACAACACCTAGCTACAACGCCTAGCCACAATATCTAGCTACAACGCCTAGCCACAATATCTAGCTACAACGCCTAGCCACAATACCTAGCTACAACGCCTAGCCACAAAACCTAGCTACAACGCCTAGCCACAATATCTAGCTACAACGCCTAGCCACAACGCCTAGCCACAACACCTAGCCACAATACCTAGCTACAACGCCTAGCTACAACGCCTAGCTACAACGCCTAGCCACAATATCTAGCTACAACACCTAGCCACAAAACCTAGCTACAACGCCTAGCCACAAAACCTAGCCACAACACCTAGCTACAACGCCTAGCCACAATACCTAGCTACAACGCCTAGCCACAAAACCTAGCTACAACGCCTAGCCACAATATCTAGCTACAACGCCTAGCCACAACGCCTAGCCACAACACCTAGCCACAATACCTAGCTACAACGCCTAGCTACAACGCCTAGCTACAACGCCTAGCCACAATATCTAGCCACAACACCTAGCCACAAACCTAGCTACAACGCCTAGCCACAATACCTAGCCACAATACCCACTAAAAGGTTGGTTTGATGGTTTCACAAAACTCATTTCCAGCAGTTCAAAAGTAAAACAGTACAAAGGTGTAAATCACTGACACTTACATTTTCTGTAGGGCCTGGGCCATGACAATCCCACTTGTGAGATCGTCCACTGTCTTGCACGGTGCCTCCAATCCAAACGTTTGGATCTAGATGAAAAAGGACAATTCAGAAAAACAGAATCATTTCCTGCTCTGAAACATTACACAGAGATACCCACCTTAAATGGCATCCATCATTACTTGACACCTAGCCCTCTCTCCTATTCATTCTTCACATAGCCTTAAAATTCCTAACTTCTTTCGGAAAAATGGAGTGGAGCTCTACACCGATTAGGTTGAGCCTTGAGGCTACTCTGACTTCCACTTGTCAGTTTTTTTGTGACTTTGCAGGGAATTTGTAAAATACTGAGCACCTTTGTCCATGCCCTATCTCTCTATGATGATTATTATAATTTTTTTGTCATTTAGCAGACGCTCTTATCCAGAGCGACTTACAGGAGCAATTAAGGTTAAGTGCCTTGCTCAAGGGCACATCGACAGATTTTTCACCTAGTCGGCTCGGGGATTAGAACCAGCGACCTTTCGGTTACTGGCACAACGCTCTTAACCACTAAGCCACCTGCCGCCCCATAACATGTAATTAGTTGTCCATGCCCATCTGATGAACCAGACCCAGCAGTGTTGTCACTGAATAAAACAGGCTGAACTCAGCAGAGGAGCGGCACAAGACACGGAGGTGCCATGGTCAATGCCATAATTACAGTCACTGCCATAATACAGTCACAAGACACGGAGGTGCCATGGTCAATGCCATATTACAGTCACAAGACACGGAGGTGCCATGGTCAATGCCATAATTACAGTCACAAGACACGGAGGTGCCATGGTCAATGCCATAATTACAGGCACAAGACACGGAGGTGCCATGGTCAATGCCATAATTACAGTCACAAGACACGGAGGTGCCATGGTCAATGCCATAATTACAGGCACAAGACCGGAGGTGCCATGGTCAATGCCATAATTACAGTCCACAAAGACACGGAGGTGCCATGGTCAATGCCATAATTACAGTCACAAGACACGGAGGTGCCCATGGTCAACGCCATAATTACGTCACAAGACACAGAGGTGCCATGGTCAATGCCATAATTACAGTCACAAGACACGGAGGGTGCCATGGTCAATGCCATAATTACAGTCACAAGACACGGAGGTGCCATGGTCAATGCCATAATTACAGTCACAAGACACGGAGGTGCCATGGTCAATGCCATAATTACAGTCACAAGACACGGAGGTGCCACGGTCAATGCCATAATTACAGTCACAAGACACGGAGGTGCCATGGTCAATGCCATAATTACAGTCACACGTAAGAAGGAATCACCTCAGTCCTGAATGTAATGTCTCCAAGTCGTAGGCTATTCCCTACACGACCGACTTTCAGGAGACCATTATTGAGCTAGGCCTAGACCATTGACCAGCCCAAGAGCTGCATGACCTTTTGTTTTTTTATCTGTATAATGGAAAGGGCTATATAAATTAATTATTATTATTATTATTATTATTACCTAGTAAAAGGGTAATAGCATTCAGAAGTAGAATTTGTTCTCTTTTTTTTACATTTGAGGCTAATATTTCATTTTAAAGGCTATGTTTAGACTTAAATCAATATTTGTACAGCATGACTCATAAACAGACACACTAAGGTGAAATGAAGCGCTATAAATACTCCAGACTTACCTCACCACCAAGGATATGTTAGTGGCAGGTCTGAGTGTCAGAGTAAGCCTACTGATGCAACCCTGATCTGAGCAGCGAGAACAGAACAGAGAGAACCACTTTACAGTCCCCCCCTCCCTCCCTCCCTCCCTCCCTTCCCTCAGCCAGCTGGGTCATTAGTGGTTGGTTGAATGAGTCCTGGTACAGTCACGCGGGTCATTAGAGGAAGTTGCCACCTCAGAGGAAGTTGCCGCACCAATTTAGAGTAATTCCTGTCCTTGACCGGAAATTCTCGTTTAGGTTCCACCTGGAAGACTGACGCAAGCTGCTAATACATATTCAGGAATTGGGGGTGGGAACGTTGTGGTGATTTCCACGTGTAGCAGAGAAATAACACCAAATAGCCCACTGACTGACAGCTGTCAATGTAGCTAGTTAGCATGCTAACCTTAGCCAGCTAATAAAGGTTATGTGCGCACCATTTCTGTTAAGTCAGGTGAAAATAACGATTTCAGAAAAAGACTACCGGCCTACCTGTCAAGAGATGAGTCTCAGCTAAACCGTGCCTATACGAGCTGTTGACATGTTGATGCTTGACGTTTGTCTGACTCTTACCGTTTGATAATTCTACTGAAACCGTGTCGGATTCCAGACATCATTCACATTTTCACATGCACAAGGATAGCTATATTCTTTGTTCTCTCTGTTGTCATTTAAGCAAGCTAGCTAGCTACATATCAATGCATTATATAAATTGCGCAGCTGTACACTGAGTGTACAAAACATTAGGAACACCTGGTCTTTCCATGACATAGACTGACCAGGTGAATCCGGCTGAAAGCTATGATCCCTTATTGATGTCACTTGTTAAATCCACTTCAAAAATCAGTGTAGATGAAGCCTTTGACATGTCTGGTGAGTATGCAGGCCATGGAAGAACTGGGATATTTTCAGCTTCCAGGAATTTTGTACAGATCCTTGCGACATGGGGCCGAGCATTATCATACTGAAACATGAGGTGATGGCGGTGGATGAATGGCACGACAATGGGCCTCAGGATCTCGTCACGGTATCTCTGTGCATTCAAATTGCCATTAATAAAATGCAATTGTGTTCATTGTCCGTAGCTTATGCCTGCCCATACCATAACCCCACCGCCACCATGGGGCACTCTGTTCGCAACATTGACATCAGCAAACCGCTTGCCAACACGACGCCATACACGTGGTCTGCGGTTGTGAGGCCGGTTGGACGTACTGCCAAATTCTCAAAAACAACATTGGAGGCAGCTTATGGTAGAGAAATTAACATTACATTCTCTGGCAACAGCTCTGGTGGACATTCCTGCAGTCAGCATGCCAATTGCACGCTCCCTCAAAACTTGAGACATCTGTGGCATTGTGTTGTGTGGCAAAACTGCACATTTTAGAGTGGCCTTTTATTGTCCCCAGCACAAAGTGCACCTGTGTAATGATCATGCTGTTTAATCAGCTTCTTGATATGCCACACCTGTCAGGTGGATGGATTAACTTGGCGAAGGATAAACACTCACTAACTAGAGATGTAAACACATTTTTGCACAACATTTTACAGAAATAAACTTTTTGTGCGTATGGAACATTTTCTGGGATATTTTATTTCAGCTCATGAAACACGGGACCAACACTTTACAAGTTGCGCTTATATTTATGTTCAGTGTAGTCAACTGGGTGGGGATTCCTATGGCGCTGGCCATGCTGTCACAGACGCTACAATGGCACAGATACAAAGAGGAGTCCTCCATCTATCTCTATGGTCCTGGGAGCCCACAGCTGTCCCATGGAGCCTATAGATCAGGGTTCTTCAATTCCGGTCCTGGAGGGCCGAAACACTTCTGTTTTTTATTTCTACCTGGTAGTTAATTGCACTCACCTGGTGTCCCAGGTCTGAATTAGCCCCTGATTAGAAGGAGAGGATGAAAAACAGAGGTGTTTCGGCCCTCCAGGACCGGAATTGAAGAACCCTGCTATACAGCGTCTTATAGACGTTCCTATAATGTCTATTATGGGCCAGCTGTGGAAACTCACCAAATGGAGCAAAAGGGGTTTAGGAAAAAAAAAAACAGTAGCGGATCCTTTGTATAAGAGCACCTCACACCAAATGGGGCCGACGACTCTTCAGGTCACGGGGGGGGGGGTTAGGATACTGAGTAAGAATTTAGGTCTACATCATATAGATGGGATAGCTGACAATGTCACAAAAAACTATCTGAGAGCTTCCATGGGGCAGAAGTCAGCGTGTTGTTGTGATTCTGGATTGCCAGATTGCTAGCAAGAATGACAAGGAACTGCCATGTGGGGAATCGTAAGTGGCTCGTTCTCATCTTGTTATTGAAACCATGTCTTGTTTTGATTGATTTCATGACTAATATGGCAAGAATTCACTAGCTAGCTAACCAACAACTGGAAGGATGTATTTGAGACAAGTGGTCATTGTGCGAATGTATTTATGTTTTCAATAAACATTGGAGACATAATATTGATTACATGTTGTCAACAATCTCACGCCAACACTGTCTGTTTTGTCCCATAGTTGAGCACGCATCCGTTTTGTTGCTAAGCAACCAACCCCTCTATGTGATAAAGGCCTATTTTCTCACTGTGTTACAGGCTCTGAGTGACAGCCCGCTTGGAGTTTGCCAAAAGGCACCTAAAGGACTCTCAGACCATGAGAAACAAGATTCTCTGGTCTGATGAAACCATGATTGAATTGTTTGGCCTGAATGCCGAGCGTCACGTCTGGAGGAAACCTGGCACCATCCCTACGGTGAAGCATGGTGGTGGCAGCATCATGCTGTGGGGATGTTTTTCAGCTGCAGGGACTGGGAGACTAGTCAGGATCGAGGGAAAGATGAACGGAGCAAAGTACAGAGAGATCCTTGATGAAAACCTGCTCCAGAGCGCTCAGGACCTCAGACTGGGGCGAAGGTTTACCTTCCAACAGGACAACGACCCTAAGCACACAGCCAAGACAAGGCAGGAGTGGTTTCGGGACAAGTCTCTGAATGTCCTTGAGTGGCCCAGCCAGAGCCCGGACTTGAACCCGATCTAACATCTCTGGAGAGACCTGAAAATAGCTGTGCAGCGACGCTTCCCATCCAACCTGACAGGGCTTGAGCTTAAATGTTATATTTCAGTTTTTTATACATTTGTAAAAGATTATAACCTGTTTTCACTTTGTCATTATGGGAAATTGTGTGTAGATTGATGAGGGAAAAAAACCAATTTAACACATTTTTGAATAAGGCTGTAACCTACCAGAATGTGGTAAAGGTCAAGGGGTCGGAATACTTTCCGAAGGCACTGTACAGCAAATCAAATCAATTGAACTAATCGGTAGGTTTAAACTTTCATTATCTTCCCTCCTCATGAGGGAAACATTTGAAAATATCTTAAAGATATGTGGCTTTTTGGTAAA